ATGCCAGGCCAACAAAACCGACCAGTTACGAGCTTGACAGTAGTTCGAATACCTGGATGAGATAAGCCATGCAACGTATTGAAGACGTTGCGGCGATAACTTTTGGGCACGATGGGGCGAGGAGTACTCGTGGAAATGTCGCATAGAATAGTATATCTTCCCAAACCTAAGGATTTCCCAGCTAATTGGAGGGTTGTTTTCGACAACTCATGTTGAAGTTCGGTATCTTCTTGTAGCGGTAAATAATTCCCCAAAATTATTGACCACAGCAATCACTCATTGGATGCTGACCACCACTGTTTAAGTCGACTTGTTTAGCTGAAGGCTTCCGGTCAAGCATCCCCGCCATTTGGTACCCCGTCGTGTAACGTGCACGATCACTAGCTAGCTAAGCGTTCGTCTAACGGCTGGTTTTGGTTCGTAAATACATCTATTGGTTTGGACGATCAATTGTTGGCTTTTGCTTTGTCTTTGGTACGCGAGAGTAAATTAATTAGAAGTTGTTGAACGAGATATCACGTCAAACCTTTAATATCTCTCAAGCCAGTTTTACAAGGTCTATGCCGTGCATTTAGGTGAGGAAACAAACGCGCGACAAGGCATCCGCCACAGTTTTGTTTACTCCGGATACATGGCGAATATCTGCTGTAAACTGTGAAACGTAATCCAGTTGTCGCGATTCCCTGGGTGAATACTTATCTGAAGGTAAGTTCAGAGAGCACGTCAGAGGTTCGTGATCAGCAAAGATTATGAAGTAACGACCCTCTACTGAATGTCGAAAATGACGTACAGCAGAGCACATAGCCAGAAGTTCTCTGCCGAATGTGCTGTACTTCGTTTCAGCTAATTGAAGGCGCCTGGAGAAAAAGACGAGTGGTTGCCACTCTCTGTTGACCAGTTGTCGCAGAACTGCACCGATTAAGGTATCTGATGCATCAGCCGAGATACTTAACAGTGCCGTTGGATCCTGATACATCAGAAGTGTGGCACTCGCAAAAGCTTTTATAACCTGGGTAAAAGAATTTCGAGCAGACGCGTCAAGTTCGATAGACTTGTTATTCCCTCGAAGAAGGTCTGTCAATGGCTGAATCAGAGAGGCACAGTTGGGAATAAAGCGTCGATAATAACTTACCAAGCCGTTAAAAGTGAGGAGACTTTTCACCGTCTGTGGCTCTGGAAAGTTCAGTATAGCCTCGACCTTAGTAGCCAGTGGGCGAATGCCCTTGCAGTCAATAGTGTGACCCAGGAAGTCGAGTGAGTCAACACCGATTTGACACTTTGAATATTAATGGTAACACCATGTTGGCGTAACCTTTCAAATGCCAAGTCCAAATGTCTAAGGTGAGTTTCCTTGTCTGGACTGGCAATGAGGCAGTCGTCTAAGTATGCGTACACAAAGTCGAGACCGCGAAAAACTTCATCGATGAAGCGTTGGAATATTTGGGCTGCATTCCGGAGACCGAATGGCATACGTAAAAATTCAAAAATCCGAAAGGCGTAATGATAGCCGTTTTCGGGATGTCTTCTGTTGCCATCGGGATTTGGTTATACGCTTTAACCAAGTCGATTTTAGAGAATATAGTTGCGCCAGATAAGGTTGCCGTCAAGTCGTGTATATGAGGCAACGGGTAGCAATCAGGAGTTGTTTTGGCATTTCACCGGTAATCACCGGTGGGTCGCCAATCGTTGCTATCCTTTTTCGGAACCATATGAAGTGGGGATGCCCATGGGCTATTCGAAGGTCGAATGATGCCAAGGGTAAGCATATGGTCAAATTCATTCCTGGCGATTCTCAGTTTGTCAGGAGCTAGTCGTCGTGCTTTAGATGTCACAGGTTGTCCTGTGGTAATGATGTGGTGCATAACATTGCTGGTTATGCACGGTAGGTCGTTCGACGGGCAATTAAGTTCCGGATATTTGTCAACAATAGGTTGAAAAGTTGGATCAAGGATTGCCTTTATCTTAACGGGTGACAAGCAGGGGCCTATGTAGGTGATGCCTTTGATAGACAGACTAGTAGTATTGTCAATCAGTCGTTTTCGGCGGACGTCTACGAGTAAATCATGATGATTAAGTAGGTCCGTGCCAATGATGGGCATTGTAACGTCAGCGAGAAGGAAAATCCACTGAATAGGTTTGCGTAAACCTACGTTCAGATGGACGTATTTCCTACCAAGGGTTGCGATTGGTTTTCCATTTGCAGCCTGTAAGTTGAAGGTAGGTTCCTTCTGTCGATCTGCTGCTGTAGCAGGAAGGACGCTGACTTCGGCGCCTCTGTCGACTAAATATCGAGTCTGGCTTATCACATCATGGATGTAAAGAAGGCGGCTAGTGCCACCGGCGACGGTTGCCGCTAACGCGTGCCGGCGGGAGAGTTTCCCACAGACTTTGAGACATTTCCGAAGTTACAAGGCTTACGGCAACACTTCGCTTCTTGGCCATAGGTGTTGTGGTACCAGCACCAGTCGGGGTTTTTCAGAGAACGTGGTTTGGACTTAGATCGACCACGTGAGTTTCTGCGTTGAGGAGATTTAGGACGACGGTCAGAGGAGTTAGAATGCATGTTTGACCTAAACATCTGCTGGATGGAGTTGCATAACTCTATCATTGCAGGATCCTTACTCGAAGTCTGCTTAGTCATCGAGCATATTTCGGGAACTGAACGTTTAGTTATTCCTAGAATCTTATCTGCAGTAATAGCTAAGTCATCTATTACAACACCCTGAAGTGTCACAAGTACGGTCTGTACAGACTGTGGCAGCTTGGATAAGAAGAGTTCTCTAAATAGTCCTTCGTCGAACTGACTTTGGCCAATAACCTCTCTCATTCTTGTCAGCATGCTCACGGCTGACTGATCTCCTAACTCGATGTTACGAAATAATTCGTCCAGACGTTGTCGGTCCGTGAGAATGTTTCTCCTGAGGAGGGATGCTTTGAGCAGCTCGTACGAGTTACTTACCTCGGAACTCAACATCTGTGATGTTACGTACTTGCTGAATTCCCGCGGTAGGGCGTGAATAACTGCAAGTAACTGTGAACGTTGATCGGTTTTCCCATGCTCACAAAAATCTGCTTCAGCTAGCAGAAACCACGTTTCAGCATTATCTGGCCAGTATGGTACAAGCTGAATGGTTTTAGGAGTTGAGCGGATACGAATGACCTTGGGACTAAGATCACTCATGACGAAAATTATGTCGAATAATATGTGGTACAAGAACAAATACAAAAAGGAACGAACTCACCGGGGTTATGTGCGTATTTATCGTGGATGAAGTTCGCGGTTGGGCTCACCACTTTAGAGGTTGACGGTATAGACGTTCGCGAACAGTGCAAAAGTTTATTGATGCGATCTCTTATACAGCAACTTCTAACATACTAATTCTCGCGTACCAAAAGTAAAGCAAAAGCCAATATTTGATCATCCAAACTACGTGACCAAAACAAGCCGTCAGACGAACGCTTAGCTGATCGTGCGCGCACGTGACACGACGGGGTACCGAATGGGAGGGATGCTTGACCGGAAGTCTTCAGCTAAACAAGTCGACTTAAACAGTGGTGGTCAGCATCCAATGTCGAGTGGTTGCTGTGGTCAATAATTTCGGGGAATTATTTACCGCTACACTAGGAATCGTGCACGAACGTAACACGACAGCGTACCGAATGACGTGAATGCTTGACCGGAAGCCTTCAGCTAAACAAGTTGACTTCAACAGTTAGGATCAGTAACCAATGTTCAGTGATGAATACTGTGGCCAGTAACTCGGGAGAATTACCTGCAGCTACAGCTCAATTCCCTCCTGGTCAATGTACTTGAAGACTGAACGATCAATTCATGGTTGTTTGCTCAAACCCAACTCCATATTTTTGGGGGAGTCATCAATCCAGCAGTCATCGTTCGCTGTTCAGCGGAATTACGTACCGCTACATCTGTTTATTGGCACTTTATTGGACATATCACAGATGACTAGATAATATTGCTTAAGATGAGTATTCATGGTTAGTTACCTGCATGAATCAAAATTTATCCCCTCAGCACATAACTTCCAGTGGGATTTGGTGCTAATTTACCTAAGTTATCGCTTTGTCAATTGGTTCATCCCAAAGATATATGCTTTAATCATAATCAGCTACAAATCTTCTCCATCATATCTAAATGATATCACCCCTCCTTATTTCTTAGCGGGTGTTACGTACAGATGTCCTTGTGTTGTAGGGAAAACAACGCACTTAGATTAACCGCCATACCGCAAAGAGAACTGAGCGACTTAATTAGTTAGTATTTCCAAACAGAGGAAAAAGTGGATTGTTATGCACATATATACCATCTTCATGGTCCAAGAAGCACTTGTTAATTTATGTGAAATACTGAGGATTTTAAAACACTGTCATCCTGCGAACAGCATTGTTCTCTGAATTGTATTCATGGCACTATGGAGACCTATGCGGAGTAGGAGCATATATAAACTTATATTACAAATGGAAAACACAATACTTTCGATTTTAAACAATACCTAAATCTCAGTAATACGAAACAAAACTCTCACAAACGTCTATGCTATCGTGAACTACTGAACCACACTCTTTACCACCATTTAGACTTACGCATAAAAAAAATGCAAAAAAGATGGTAATCAGTGGGAATCTCGAATGACAGCGATTATTTATCCTAGCGAACTTCACTCAGCACGTAATAATGTTTGTGGTTTATTTATTTGTAAAAATTCTGTTTTAGGTTATTAGCCTGTGAACAAGTAGCAAATTATGCATTTGGACAAATTTAGCAGAAAAAATTGCAGTTGTCAGATGAAAATATTGAGGAATGGGTTGATGATTGTGTGGTAGAATTCCAGCCAGCTATACGGGAGATGCGGATTCAATTCCCGGTCAACGCACTCCTAAACCTCACCTAGTTTACTATTCAGTGCCTTGTAAGCCTGGAAAAGAGGCTAGACTGTGGGTAAGACTAAGACCTCACCCCATGAAAACAAAATCACAGCTGCTGAAACCTTAAAATTCCATGTTCTACTAGGCATGCAAAAGAATTTTAAAAATTACTTAGTAAGGTTTAATATGTACTCAAAAGACCCCGCAAAAATTGTTGACAGTTAAAGAACATGTTTAGAGAAGAGAGCAATAGTTTCTTCTTAAAATACTTTATCATCACCATTATTAGTATTATTCTCAATAAAAAGAAACTTTAAACAGTTGTATAGAAAATTTAAAAAGATCCGGACGCTTACATAAATCGTCGCAAAATGTAAATTATGGTAATAAACAAGTGAGCAAAGTGAATTAAAATAAGTAAAACATGAAAGCAACTTGACCTGACTACAGTAAAATAGAACAATATGTCCGAAAAAATATGCTTGACTATAAAAAAAGCGGATATTATGAAGACATTGTTATACATATTGTTTATTGTAGTTCATCAAGACCACAGCCTCATAGAGAATAAAACTATATCATGTGTATATATATATTTTGATATGTTCCAATAAGAAAGGAAATGAAAATTAGCTAATGACAAATGAAGTAACTAATTATATAATTCTAGTAGTATAGTGGTTAATTAGGACTAATGAAATTAGAACTTAAAACAAAAACACAGAGGGGAAGAGGGAGAAGCACGCGCAATGACTATAAACATAATTTAACTGATTTCGTCATTGTAGCTTGATGAAGACCACAAAGACCTTGTAACAATTGGTGCGCATTTCGTCTTTCACTGTATCTGTATAAAAATTAAATAGAATAATCAATAAATTAAAATGAGTATATAATGTAAAATAGTTATTTTGTAGAATACGCCAAAATAATGATGGTTAGCTAAATATAAATGTCAGCAAAATCGAAATAAAGAATGCAGTAGGTGTAAAATTAAGTGGCTTTTAAATATTGACATGAGTTATGAGAATTCGGCGAATTATTTTAAATGTTATATGTTATTCGTCTGCATCAAAACCCAAACACTGAATATTATGCCACCTAGTGGAAGAGTTAAACATTCACGAGAAAGTATGCAGGTTAAAATTTTTTAGCAGTAATATTCAAATCAAACTGAAAATGTAACAAAATTATTACACTAATAATTAAAAAAAAAACACTGTTTATTGAAATATTGAGCGTAACAATATAGTGAAAAGTACAGTTCCTAAGAAAAGTACTCGGAAAACTGATCAATAGTATAACTTATGAATTGAATTCCTTATAATATAAATATACCTTAGAGATAAAACGATAGGATTAAATAAGTTCGTCATATGGCATAAAAATGCATTGGTTGTCTGATTGTATATTTAGTGTGCAATATGATTAAAGTTAGAAGGCAGTTTTTCGTACACTGAAAAAAAAGTTAATTAAAAGTTTTAGCAGATAAAACTAGTAGCGCAGCCGCCGAAATCAGTTATCTTGGAAAACAAAATGTTGCGATGTGAACAATTAAGTCTTGGGAGTTAGGTAAGACAAGCATAGGTCTAACCACTGCTGTTCTTAGCAAGGAACCAAGAAATCATAAACTACTCACATTCAACCTTGCATAGTTATAGTCTACATAAAACTCTATAAGGTTTCTGCTACATTAAAATACCCAGTAGCAGTACTTAGTGCAATGATTACAAAAAAAACTCCAATCTGGCTACACATAACGCCCATGAAAATGAACGGAGATGATTAAAAATGCGATTAATTTTTATCATTAAAGATACCCTTGTTGGTTACGCGCTAGTGATTTTATGCAGTCGACTCTCACCTTGACAACTAATAATCTTGCTCATGTGGGCACTACACCGAATGAAATGCGTGATATGATCAAGCAGCATGTATTGCTTTATAAGAAGTAGTTATAGACTGATTGAGAGCGCCAATCAGTTAAAAACATTTCGACCCTAACATATACAGGTGAAATTACTATTGTACGTTAGGGTAGAGACTATGCACATATACACTTGACACGTTCAAGTATTCGGAACCTATTCAATCCAACTGTTAGGTTATTAGAGAAGTAATCCACACGATATCTAAGAATAACTCATACCAAACACTAGTCATCACTATGAATTACAAGGAATGTATTACAAGTAGCCTAAATACCTTACACTATTTACAAAATAATGGTAAAATTTTTTATTTTAAATATTAACTGGAAAAATGACGAAATCATAAGGATATATTACAGTATTTACACAATTGGAATGCAGGAGCAATCCAGTATACATTAGTGATGTAATCGGTCAGTAACACGTGATACAATTCGGAAGGGAATTAGCAGCTGGTGTCTACTACAAATAAAATAAAGCTATGTGATACAGACACTTGATCTTCGACGAATAGATCACCTGTCTCCTTTATTCCAAACCAATGACTCTGTTACAGAAAGACAAGAACAGTAGTTGAGTGGGGGACGCGCGCTTTTGTGCTAAACGCATATTTCAATTCACACATCGAAAAAGGAGAAACAGTGAGCTACGCAAACCAGCTAAAAACTAACTAGTGAGTATAAAATAAGTGAGCCATATTATGAAATCAACAAAATAAAGCAAGAAAGGATTGAACACAAAGTGGAGAGTTCATTGGTGCGATTCAAACAGTGTGCAAAAAAAAAAAATAAGTCGAAAGAATCATTCTTAAAGAAAAGATAAGTAATAAATTTTGTTCAGCTAACCGCAATTGAGTAGTGTTGTAATTAATCATTCAGTTCGTGTTCTAGAAATAGAAATGCAATAATAAATACAGATGAAAAAAATTCCTCCATGAGACAAAAGAGAACAGTATGTGTGCCTTTATACGTCTCGTGCAGTGCTAATTTTAATCTGATATCGAAATCACCTGTTTGAAGCTCCGAATTAAATTGACTATGAGAACTTGAGGGATATATGTTCCACTACTAGCTTTCATAATTTAAAACTAGGATATATTCAATTACTTGGAAATGTGGAAATGTCCGAAATCCTTTGCTTTACAGTTTAGACTACTAATATCACTTCAGATGACAAGAAATAGCTTAGCAAGTAATTGAACTACTGTGAAATAATCATTTATATGTTCACTTAGCGCTTTAACATAGACCCAGCACAAATTATTTCACCTAGAGGAGGTTTTTTCAGTAGAGTGAGAAAATCGCCAAGACTGTATTCATTTGCCACACAGGAAATTGGGACACATGATTAACCAACATCCTGTGAGAACATGAAAAAGATTCCCAGCTGACAGCTTCTACTATGAAGTGGTGGCCAGGACTGCATATCATTCCAATGACCCAACGAGCAATACTGGCTGGAACTAATGTTTGTGCAAGTCTTATGATATCAGAAACACCGTTTGGATAGCGGCCACACTAAAAGCAGTTGCCATTATAGCATAATTCGTTTACAATATATTGGGGGGTCTGTGAGTGAAGTCGTGCCGCTGACGAATAGGAGATATAACGGCAGTACGGTGTCTACCTTGGCCGGTTAGCAAGCCAGTTATGCTGCTTCTGTCCTCTGCAGTGGCAGCCGGGAAAGGGTGACTCCCAAAATTGTAAAATGTTAATACAGACACGACTTTAATACAAATTCTTTTTTCTGTTTTACGTATTTAAAGAGGAAATCAACTTTCACGGTCTGGGAAAACGGGAAGTAACAGCTACCTATGCACTTTCCGAATGCGTTTCGGTTCAGTATTCTACTCGATAAAGCTACATACACACAGAGGTAAGTAAAACTTAGGATCATATAGAACAAAAAAAGCATTTTATCCCTAAAACGATTCGCACGAAAAGGTAAGCAGTAATAGATATTTATATGCGTGTTCTAGTAGCCTTTGACAAGACAAGAGGAGAAAGATCTTCAACATGAAGTGTAGACTACAGACAATGGCTAAGCTAATTCCTATTTACAGAACTACTTGTGTTGTTTATCCGTAAATAGTGAACAGGTACATAAAATAAGTCACCTCCAACTGAATTTTCAAATTCACATGCACATGTAAGATCAGGTATATTGCTGCTTCGAACATACTTCTAAAAGCATACGAGTTAAGGGTTCCCAGTCTTCTATCAGTAGAATAACTCAATATCGAATCGAGACATAAAGTGGAATTTTTGACTGTCCTTAAAATTACCGACAGACACGAAAATCCAACTTTATTTAGATTTGTTGAGTCCACTTTATACAGCGATGTTAACGCAAATTTTGTATACAAAAGGAAACCGCGATTAATGTCGTAGTTATTTACCGTATTTCATCAATGCATATAACTATTTCCCTTGAGGAATTCGAACAAAGCAAGAATATGTTAGGCAGGATAAATTAATGTCATCACATTTTGCGCCATAGATTGGCATAAGTAACACGTGTTCAAGCCATCTTAATTGATGCCGCTTAACAACCTCATCGATTGACTTGCTCTTCCTACCTAACACTCTACGGCTAATTTTAATATTCGTCATCATATTACACCACTTAACACAGGAGATAGAACAATGTAAAAAAGCAGAATGACAGGGTAAATTTATCATTGGTTATGGTTTTCTTAACTTCAACCATAATACCTCTACTTTGTTCAAAACAGAACATCAACGATATTTAATCTATTGATGTATATAGGTGGCGCACAATTTATAAAATGTTTAACTGACTCCAATACAAAACCACAACTCTATAACTACAACTAACAAGATTATCTCTTTGGGATAACACCTAATCAGGCTTTCTACTGTTGATTTGACTAGTGGTGGTATACATTTTTAACAGCAGAATGTACAGTATCACCCACGTTTATAGTGAACATATTCAACTAAAAGAACTAAGTATAAGCAGACATTTTAATTCCAAATATGCCATTATGCATATATAAGTGAACTAAAAGAATATATATATATATATATATATATATATGACAGAATAGACTTGAAAGAGATCAAAAGCCAGAGAAGGCAAAATGTAGTGATTTCATTTAATTGATCCTATTAAAAGACAGAAAGAATAGTTATATAAAAACAATCTATGCAGGTAAATTACGGTCTATACATAAAACAGAATCAGTTCACACAAATATTCTATTAATTGACGAAGACTTGAACATTTTTAGTTGCTGAAATGTGTGTCAGGTTAGCGTAGGCCTTATTTAAATAAAACAACATAACTGTGTAGTGAATATGTTAATCAGAACGATGCTAACCAACCATCGAGATAAAATGTGAGCGAGTGGAGAAAGTAGAGAACAAACAGCTTACTTGCCAAAATATGTTAAAGTAAAACATTAATAGAAATAAAGAGTATTTACAAACAATATATATATATATATATATATATATATATATATATATATATATGCACTAACCTGACGCCAGGTGAAAATTCACTGGTCACCTGAAATGTTGAAGTGCAATATGATATATGAGTTAGCCATTGTCTTTTTAAACGAAAGAACAGATAACTTCTTTTTTATTGATAAATAAGCCACTATATAAAAATTTTGGCAAGGTATACACTATATATTATATAATCACTTGGAGAATAAAAACAAACAAACAAACAAGTGCAGATGATTTTGAAAAGGACTAACTAACTAATCTGTATACAGTGACGATAACTGGTACTACTTGACTAGTCACAAATAATGACAATTTCTACTTTGCTAAGATCGACTCAGCTATAAAGTCAGATTAGCTGAAATGATATATGTTAGCAAATAAACGTATAAGTCACCTTCTATCTAAATTCCTTTTACCTTTTGTCCATTTAATCATGATTTAGTATCTTTTGTGATCAGAATAACATTATAAAAAGTTAATGATGTTATGGAGAAGCAATTAAGATTATACATACTAAATGCAGTAAATACAGTTCATAAAAATATATCATTCCAATAAATGATGGCCTTCGCCTCTCGACTGGATCATAGCGCCTTAATTTTGAGCTTAAGATGTTTCAGTAGCAGTTGAATTTTTTTACGATGAGGTGGCTAGTTTTGTACCAAAAGCTTCTTTCTTTACCAGATGGGCTTTCTACTGGCTAAGCACGGTCCGGAAAGTGTATTGGCCAGGGAATGGACCCCCAGTGAATATTTTTTTACCGCCGAGCCGCCAACGCATATCCATCAATTTAATAATGGTATATAAGAATATCTCAAATATTTATAAATGTACTTGAACAATGAGACAATCACAGAGGAAAAAAAACTCTGAAGAGCTGTATTATAAGACATACACAGTTTTATCAGTAATATTTATTAGGGAAAAAGACTGAAATTGAGTTGGACTTAGTGAATTATTATCCAAGGATTGTCTCATATTGTGGTATATTAAAAAAAACAACATATATTTTGCACCTTAACTTGGAGTATGACACACAACTACCATCTTTACCTTTATATCGGCAAACTTTTGTAGTTACACTAATTTACATACAGTACAGCTCTTTTTGAGAAAATTAATTATTATTGTTTTTCTATGTAACTATTGGTTTATTTGTGGAATTTAGAATTAATCAGTTGGTCACGTAATTCAACACACATCTGGTAACAGCATTCTTAGCTCAACATGAGGATGAATTCTAGTTAACCAGGGTGGTCTTTACGTTATTTTGATAGTATTATATATATAAACATTATATAAGAAACAGTAATAATTTCAACATTGGTAGTCAGTGTTGTTTGCTAACTGTGATTTTGAAACAAAGATTTGTTTTATTCCGTTCAATTTCCCTGTTGCTAAACAGTGAACTACTATGAATACATTGATATTCTAGATGATTATTGCAGCTTCATCAATGAAGAAAACAGATACATTGAAGTTTTTCTTCAGTATGATTCTAAGCATTACCAAAAATGAAGGCTAATTATGTGTATATTTTTCTGAAGATTTTGGTTACGCTGAAATTGTCCACTTTATAAATCGATATTAGACAGAGAGGAACAAAACGAAAACAGACCTGTACACACTCAATTTCTTCAGCAACACAGGCACGTGATACAGTCTAAAGTCAGCGCAATAACAACAGTATTAACTTTTAGATGAAAATCTGACGTTTGGACAGCGCTCATCGGTATTTCAAGCAGACAACCAACAGTGAAAATCATTAAAAGTGGTAAAATCACGACATGTCGCAAGACAGAATTACGCATTCATACACAACTGTCCTTCAGATTCGTTGACCTAAATCCTGAATTTCGAAAGTTTTTCAAGAATCAACGCAGTGATTATAGTCTTAAGAAGTCAATTATTTAATATAAGTTATTCAGTGACTGCAATTACTTTCAGTTTGCCGTAGAGTAATATTAGGATTTTATACATGTATTATAGAGTATAGTACATAACATTACCTTGGAAGAAGATGCTTGATAAATCGATTGAATGAAATCCAAAATTTCTGAATCATTTTTAGATTTCGCCACATCGAGAGCATTTTTTCCGTTCTGTGGAAAAAAATAATTACACAAATGGTAATTTAGATAGTGCAGCTAATTTTTAATCACCGATACAAGTTAACAAATCCAAATTAATTAGGCTAAAGTGAAATAAGGCATAGAGTTCAGCATAATTAAAAAGTCAACTTATTACTTTGGAAACATACCATGTGTGAGTTCAAATTCCCACACTATGAAACAGTAAACAGAAAACAGAGCACAGAAGTAGAATAACAGCACGGGAGATATACATGAATGACTTGTTAATGAAGTTGGTGTTTAAGATATCAGCAAACCCATGGGCAGAAACCTCCATAATCAAATACGAAGGCTTGGAGTACAATAAACGATCGCAAAACATAATCAAATAAAGATTAGTGAAAATTTTCAGAACAACTAAGGGATGAGATATCTTGATTCATATAATTAAAAGTTTACAATCATTGGTTCTTCGCGTTTTGAGGATTACAGAGAAGAGATCTACAACTCCCTACACGATTCGGAGCAGCAATCACTGACTTCATGAGCTAGTGTACTGCGATACAATTACGGAAGTCAACCATTAGCTACCAGTTAAAGTTTGTCTGAACTGTTACTCAATATTTTATAGTTGCTACGAAACTGCTTCAGAGACAATATAGAAGCCATTATTCATCATTATGCATATCTAAAGTATGAGAATTCTTCCCATGACAAAAAAGAAAAACAGATTAGTAGAATAAATCTGATCACATTCCAACTTTTTTCTACAGACCCCCTATTAATGATGCAAGGTAATAATATGAATTTATAGTTGCAAAAAATTGACCATCAGATTTTGATCGACTCACAGAAGGACAGAGTGTCCACCTTGTAACCCGAACGCCTGGGATCGAAAATGTGCTCGTGTCGTTGGTGGTGAATTTAGATGAGACGGATTAACAACATATAAACAGATAATAAATTATGTTAAGAATTACACAATAATAAACTCACATTATCGACTAAAGTCAAGTCTAGATCCGCATAGCCAATCAGACATTTTATGACATTGATATGGCCTTGTTCAATAGCATACATTAAAGCAGTATTACCAGATGCATCTTGGGCGTTTATATCAGCTCCATGTGCAATAAGTAACGAGCAGATATCAACAGCACCATGTAATGCAGCTAACATTAGTGGTGATTGACGAGCAGGTGTTTTTGTACGCAGATTAGTATCACCCATACTAAACAATCGACTGATTGTTTTTAAAGCAATGGGATCAGAAACCTATAGAAAAGATAGAGCACAGTGATATTAATAAACAGAGTACTTGTGATGATATACTTCCTAAAAATAGACACAGAAAGCATAAATATTGACGCTTATAATAATAACTCCACTGCAGTAACCTAAGTACCGAAAAAATGATGTTTTACATCACTCACATTGGTAAGAGTAGCGATCATGATTGGAGAAAAGCCAGACCGATTGAGATGATCTGGATGTGCGTGTCCTGTATCCAAAATTAAATTAACCACCTGCCAGGCACCATGACCAACTGAATAATGCAGGCAAGTACTGTCCTGAAAATAAAGAAGACGATAAAATCAGTTCATATGTTAGGCACAAGATGATGCTGTAGACAATTTACTGCTTATATTAGAAAACTAACAGAAAGAGTAAATCACAGTAAGATACACAAGATAGGGAGAAGTAGAAACTGTAGGGAAAATAAATTCATTTCTACGAACTGTAATCAAGATTTGATTGAGTAGTTCCACAATAAATTGGCACCGAGTGAAAAGTACACAAACACAAAAATTGTACTTTAATGGATCTTAACAAAATGATTCTCAAGTTTCGTCCTACAAACTGATCCGAACTTTTTCCCGCGATCAATAAAAATTAAGAACATCAAAGGTACAAATAAACAGGTACACCTTGACTTTTCAGTTCTTGTCCAATTATTACTGAGTCATAAATAGTCATCAAGAAAGTTAAAGAAGCTAGGTAAACACATTTCCTTAGACCACATAAGAACACACTGGTTGAGTTCTGTTCCTCGAAAGTAATCAGCAGTCAATTATAACTAGATTACACTTGAGTAGTGCTTGATGCGAAAGGTTCCTGCAGAATCTGTTTTGACGCTTATGTCACACTGTTTACACTGAAATTCAGGCTTGCTTTCAAACACTCGAAGAAACGACCAACTAGAATTGTGTTACACTTAGGGAAGTCATTAAAAGTAACTGTGGTACATATAGCGATTATCCAGGTTTTTATAGAAACCTATGAATAAACCAATGAGGTTGGTAGTTTCGCATCACTATTTCCGGATAAAATCCAACAAAGGGATAAAGACTGTTGAACAAAGAATTTTCCTGTCGATAAATTTCTCCTCTTCTGTCTTCATTTTACATAAATAGTAAGTTTTTGCACATCAATAACATAAAGGCTTTGGGATAAATCAATATATAGAATGATGATATTCAAACAATTCGCTTTGGGATTTGATAATATTAAAAGAATTGAAATGTTTGAGAAATTCACTGCAAAATAAAGGTGTGTATGGTGGATGGCATGTACACTGTAGACGTATACTCTCCAAATGAAGTAATTCAGAGTTTTTATTTTCATGGTGTATATGACTACAATTTAAGCAATTTCGAGGTTAATAAAAACGAATGAGTATGATAAAGCAGCTGTATTCTGTCAGACTATAAATTCCACGTGAATAAATATGAGCCTAGGTAAACGTCAAATATGCTTTAAGGGAATGATTAATATTTATGTGGTATGAATTAGAAAATTAGCCAAAGGGACACATAGTGTAAAAAAAAGTGAAGGATAAATCATAATTATAATTATCGGCTGGCATGTTATTTGTATATACATCTTACTAATAAACAGAGAAATACACCTACATAAATTACGAAATTAATTAAATTAAACATCTTTCTATCTATATTGGTTACTAGCTGTCTACATAAAATCCATTTTAACTTGCTAAAGGAGTAAGAAGGTTTGTATGAAAGGTTAGTCTAGTGAAGTACGGACCAGATGTAAATTTCTATGTAGGCAGACAAAAATACAGGGAAACTATCAGTGCAGAGATCTGAGGCAGTTAGCACAAGGAATAACACTCGAATTTCTTAACGCTGACGTCAAGTTGAGAAATTCGGCGCGCATCACCAATAGCATTTTCCATAGGCTACTGCGCATTTTCTTCAACACATATCTTCAATGGCTCGATAATAAAGGTCCAAGGGTGGATCGGTAAGAATAAACACCAAGGAACCTGCGCTGAAGATCTTGTCTTGAAGGATAATGAAAGCTTCGTAATTGAATCAGTCAGCTCAGAGAACACAACAAAATCAAAATTTTCTCCATTATTTCAAGAACTTTGGCAGTGCAATGGGCTGACCAAGAGCCTATTGCCTAAAAAATATGCAAAAAGATGGTGATGGATTGAACATTCACCGAGGAGACCGCTGAGTGGAATGCTAGTAGGAAGTGACAGGGCGGGTGTCTAAGGGCGATATGAAGAATACCGTTTGAAGAGGAAATGAAAGCTTGCGAGAGTTTATGAAGCTAGGTGAAAGATTTGGCATACAACCAAGCACAATCGAGATGTTCACTTGAAGCTCTATGCATAATTTAGAAGGCAAGGAAGGAATAATAACCATAATAATGAGCCAGCTTGAACCCCACTCATTGCTACTCCTTAACTGTACATAAATATAAGTCAGGTGTTTATTCGGTGAACATGGCATACATATATATTGGATAAACAACCTTTGGGCACAAAAGAGGGATGCCGAAGTTGAACAGCAAGTCAATGAAATAAATAACTAAGCCAACGATAAACATTGAGTATCATCTATATTTAAAAGTTACGCAAAATTGCAGAAAATACATGAATTCATATATCTAGCCTAAATCAAAAAGAAAAGTTTGGGAAGCGAAAACATGCAAATGAGTATAGACAGGTAGATGCAAACATCCTCCCTCATTAATTAATCTGAGTTATCAAATGTAACTATTACTAGACGAGTGTCTCTAAATAATGATCAAGAGCGCACACTAGTGTTGACACATTTTTGACCAATACATATACAGTGTGAGAAGATATCAGTCGAGTTCCAAGAAAAGAGTATAAAACATAATGGAAAAAGATGTGCAGTTCAGCATTCACGATGACTTGACTAGGGTTAACCAGTTCATTTGCACGACTTCTGATGGCTTATTTATCATGCATTTAAATCCAATTGGATTGCAATGAAGCATCATTCAAAGATTATATGGATGATGATGATGATGACAATAATAATAATACAATTTAGCCTTGCTTCAAAGCTATTTGATCACTGTGTTTCATTTCCTCAGCAGAATATCTTAACTGCACTCCTTCCTTGATTACTAGTAATTTACTAATTGAATACATAATAGCTGTAGATGCTTAATATATTAAGTCATGCCATGCATACTCAAGTCATAAGAGTACAGTCAGACAGATACAGAGTTAATTCCACTTTATCGTCCTAGTTTGGGACTCTTCAGCAGTACGCACCCAACAAGGATCGAACCAAGGCAAGCGACCTCGTAGACCACTGAGCCACTGGGACCCGGTCCAAATGGACCCTGAATTCTAACTTCTCCCGATTTACGACATAGAGCGACCATTTCACAATGTCTTCTTCGATGAGTTACTGCCTCATCTTCAACCTGTTGTACCCTACTGGTCACGACTTCCCACTAGAACCCCAGGTTAACTGACTGAATAGGACCAGTCACTAGTGAGCATCAGATTAATTTTCAAGTACTGATTTTGTAGGGATTTTGTTTGATTGCATAGAGGATTTCATCATCAGCTGACATTAGTTAGAGAACCAATTTACTTTGTTCACTGCATATATCATACACTGCAGCAGTATTATTTACTGGAAAATAGTTTGAATACAATTTATTGTTCATATTCATATCAGTTGTAATGACACAAAACTATACAACTGCATCAATCAGTAGTACTTGCTAGCCAGATCAAAGTGATGTGAATAACGAATCGGTATAAAACTACTCATCTCAATCAGTTAGTAGTATATATTTGTGTCATTACAACTCATATATTTTTATATTCTGCACAACGTTGGTTTGAATAGGGAGGGACGCATGATCTGGTAGAGACGCGGTGATTACGTCGCTTGTTTAACACCGAAAACGTATACAACAGCTACCTGATTTCTCAGCCCTCCACTTAAGTAGCAAGAGAACAAGGTGAGACGGAAAGTATATGTATAGAAAGGAACAATGGCATTATATATATATATATATATATATATATATATATATATATATATATATATATATATATTACACCACTGACGTAGCCAACTTCTTAGGTGTGATAAAGAATAATCCATTGTTTATCCGTTTATTTACAGACTGAGCACCCATCACCAAATCAAATATGAACAATAAAATGTGTTTAAATAATCTCCTAGTACATGATACTGTTTTCCTGTGTGATAAGCAAATTAATGTGGGATATTAAGTCTACGTCTATCTGTACTTTGTAAGGAGTCCCATGACTTAAACAAGCATGGTATGACCTTTTATTATTATTATTGTATCCTTTAATTCTCATAGGAACATAGGGCTTCAGTTGCGCATCTCCATTGCCTTCTGTTTTCTGCCAATTTTTTCACCCCACTCCAAGTCTGCCCACACGCCTTCATTTCCTTTCCACATGACCTCCTCCAAGTCACCATTGCACTGACGACCAACTCGCCGCTTCCCTTTTGGGTTCCACTCGAGCAATGGCCTGGCGTGTGATGCCACTCGGTATTTTACCCAGAGTATGGCCAATTCATCTCCATTTCTTCCTGTCGCCGATCTTTTCTGGCTAGCCATCTGATCTTGAGTATTGAGCGAAGACAACTGTTAATAAAGGTCTGAAGTTTGTTTGAGATGCTCTTTATGACGCGCCAAGTCTCTGATCCGCATAGTAGCACTGACTGACTTCACATTGGAGTTGGAAATCCGGATCTTATTTTTGATGCTGAGTGATGTTGACCTCCACACAAACTTAAGAGTAATGAAAGCTTGTCTTGCTTTTCCTATCCTGTCTTTGATGTCCTCGTCAGTTCCGCCTGTAGTTGAAACGATGCTTCCCAGGTAGGTAAAGGAGGTTGTTTCTTTCAGGTTCCTCCCATTTATGCTGGTTGATTGTTGTCTGTTGTTGTTGGTGTTGGTGATAGCCAGGAATCTTCATCACCTCTGTTTTATCTATGTTCACTTGAAGTCCTATCTTCTCTGGGTGCTTCTTCTGCCAGCTTGTTGCTTTTCACTTGCATATCTTCCAGTTTGTGGGAAATCAGACATATATCATCGGCGAATTAGTATTTTAAATATCTGCCGTTTTCATACATTCAACTGTTATTAGTGATCGATAAAATCACTCTACTTGTATATAAAATGCCAGTATACTTACAGGTTAACAGTCTTCTCATTGCGAACAATAGTAACAATAGCGAAAAGGAAAAAAAACTGAACTACACACAGTCTGCTTTTGTTTTGATAAAAATTTTTACGAGTTTAGAGTTTACATTATATAAAACTTGTAGCATCAAGTGTGTTGTATAGTTTTCTTTTATAAAGTGATTGAAAGAATACTCATTTTCAGATGAGATGTTATATTTTTCTTTTGTTCAAAAAAAGAATAATTCTTAAGCATTCACTTACACATAAGCAGAGCAGTATTAGGCTAATAATTCATACATATACACACGTATTTATCTACATACATATTTCTTCTTACTTATTAGTTAATTACATCATCTTCTGGCAAATGGAGAACTTCAGAAACCATTAGAAGGTATTCATCGTTGTTATATACAGTGGAATGTGAGTTCAAATGATCAATAATTAGCGTAGTGCACAGACACAAACACACACACACACAGTGAAATATACAAGTTATTTGGTTTACTAATATAACGTAGACAACAGTTAACCAAGTTAAATATATCACATTGATTTTATATGAGTAACGATAGAAAAAACCACTATAATAAGTGAATTATTATTATCACTACTATGTATATATATATATATATATATATATATATATATATATATATATATAAGCTTCTACTAAATTTAGGGATAATGACTACCTTGGAGACAAACGTTTATACATTCGCTACACATTAGCGACTTAAATGAGAATTACGCTGAACTTCAAACACTTTATCAGATACCTTTAGACTAATGGGATTTACAGGAGTATTTTGATATTACAGAAAAATATGTAGAGAAAAAAAAGGTCTCATGTAATCCAGCATATTGTAAGCTAAAACAGATATTCAGACAGGTCAATACAAGCTAATATACCTTATAACAGTAGTAAACTAAAATTTGCGAGATTCGAAGAAAGTCCATAATTTTGTCTCTACAACTCAAAGAAGATATATTTACGGAGACTCTATCACAATACATGATCATCTTTCGGCAGTTGGTCAATGCTCTGCTTGAGAGTAAGAGATAATTTACTTACAATCAAATTTAACTAGGTCTACCTGAGCACAGTGAGACAGGTTCTTCTTAGCATTCAAGAAAGTCTACCTGCCTAGTTAAATCCATAAAAGATACTATTTTGGCACTCCATAATAAACCACAATAATATACATAGAGCTGATATACACTTCACCTTGATGTCATATAACTAAAACATTATCATGTACAGTTCATGTAGGCCGAATTTGTAGCAGTAGGGGTTCAGTCAAGTCAGAGGTGTGTTCAGAAATAACAGGTTCAAACGTTATTCCTACATTGACTGCCTTTAGACTAATTATTTTTCCTTTACCTATATTCTTCACTTCATATGATCTGCCGCTGTTATTATTATTACTTCTTGTATATTTCTATCTCATCGATTTCACACACACACACACATTTTATGAATTAACATTTGTCCACGGTAAAAAAATTCATTGACAAAGTGCTGATATTTTGCATCACAACAACTACTTGAGATTCCATGGAGTTGGGGATTATGACACGGCCTGGCTACCTAAACTTTGATAGGTGGGGGGGGGCTAAACCTATAAACCACTGGTCGAAAGTCGACAGCCTAGATCATTGAGCTGATACTGTATAAGTGAGCAGATTCTACAGCACGTATTCAAACAGAATGCAACATACTTAGGCTGAGCGTTGGTTAGTGCAAGAGTGCATCCATTTGGGATAGGCATAAAAAAGTTTCTAGTATGACAGATAGTGTTCAAAAAGGACAATAAAATGATAAATATGACAAAATTAGGAGGTAACTCAGATCTAAGGGAAAAATCCTTTCTTTTCGTTCTTTGTGCTCCGAGTGGAAAATATAGCTTCAAGCTCTGAAATTCCAGTAGCGACGGTGTTGCTTATGCGGGGTGGGGTTGCAACTTTCACGCCCAGCATTCCGTCTTTCAATAAACAGGCCTACTGCCTACTAGTAAACTAGGCAAGGTTAAATAGTACGTCAGCAGCGAATCAAACCTCGGACAGCGTGCGTGGCTGACAAGGATTCTACAACTGAACCACAAGGGAAAAAGATACAGATGATATACTACCTCCTCTAGTTTACTAGCCGAAAAACTAAACCCGAAAAAGAGGCAATGTTTGGGTGTGGGGTTGAGAACTTCACCTTCTCTGCTGAAACTTCAAAGTACGGGGAAAAGTAAGTTTAAATCGACAATATAGAGCATTTAATAAATTTGTGCTTCTATCGTCTCTAACTTTATCGGAAATCTTATGATTGTATGGAAGTTAACACGTCAGACTTTGGAATTCTACGTGAACTTAATATTTTTTTGTTTTTCAGATACAAAATCACAAGGCATACAATACTAATCGCACAAAAACCGACTTACATTTTCATCGATAGATTGAATGATGTCACGTAGTAGAGCTGGTGAATAACCATGTAGAATTGCAATGAAATCTTCAATACTCAGTAGGTCAGTTTGTGATGCTGCAGCAAGTTCAAACCAAACTTTCACTACAGTCAAAAACTTTTCTTTCTATAAACATATAAAATATAAATAACATGATATTCGTAAAACAGAGAGAGCTGAATGTAGATGTGTATAAACGCAATCTTTCAGGATAGTTTGGTAATAATAATCTATCAAAAGATAATCCAAGCCCTAAGATTGACGAGAGTTCATAAAACTACATAAGAAAGGCTTGGTACTGAGGGGGGAAGGGCATGGATATATAGCTCAATTCCACTGACTGGATTTCTGTTTCTCACCGAAAAACGGTTTGCAACACAGTTCACCTCTTCCTTTTTATCCCCCTCTACCAACTTAAGTAGAAACAACAACAGGTGAATTAAATTACCAAAACACATTGTGCCTTATTTGCAAACTATTTATGTCATCTTGTTCATATGTCGTCGACTGTGAAAAAGATTTCAATAGTCGCAACTTCTGACTTTAAAAAATATGATGAGGATTATGGTTTAATCAAATGACTTTTTGCACGATTGTTTCTGGGTTCGAGCTTCAGTGGGAACACGACCAAATGAAGGTGAATCGAGATGACAAGTCGCAAACGGAGGGAAAAACATGTTTTACAATTCATATGACTAACTCACCAACTGTTAATACAATCAACAACCTTTAAATATTTTTAATGTCTTTTTTACAGTGTTTTTTGTCAACTACACTTTAGTCTTATTGTATCTTCATTTAAACTTAGATTATTTACTTCGCGTACAATCTGACATTAGGCAAACTTACTAAATTTATTTTCTAAAAATTTATCTACTGTTTATTAGAACATTGGTTTATATAAACATGCCACTTGTTAACTTAAAGCGCTCCATCCTTCATCATTGCTGTTGATAAAATTATTATTATTATTACTATGACTAAATATCCTACTTGTACTGTGTATTTGACAAATCACTATGACTGGTTGTTATTTAATAGTTGCATGAACAGTTAGGTGTATTAGATTAAAGCCTGAGGCGACGTAACTGAAAACACTGTTGTTCTTCTATATATGCTGTTCTGAAATAATACAGTAATTACCATGAACTAGATAACAACTACCGACTGAGGAGTAGTTATTATATCTAATTCATGAGTTGAACATTAATAACAAAAGAGACTCACCATCTCTTCCTCTCTGCCAACAGTCTTTTCAGCCTGATAATAGCCAATTAATGATTCACACGCAGTTTTCAATTCATTTGATAAAGCAAACCTATGTCAGTGAGAAGTGAATATATTACAAACAGTTTAGTAAAATAGAACACTGATTAATTCAGGTGTGTCTCACTTTCAAAGAGATTTATAGATATACAGTAGAATAATTCAATGAGTAAAGACAATCATTTGTATACCTAGTATAATATTACTTTTTTTCTTCTTTTAGAACAAGATTCACAAGATCAATATTTGCGGTGACTTTTATCAAAAATCGATACTCACGAAAATCAACTGGATTTTTGACATAAACTTTTTGCATAAAGGTACAGTTGTACATTTCACTGCACTTTACCAAAGGATACATTAACATAGAGAGAATAAGTAGTGCAAAGAAAGCTTACGGTCGTCAGTTAAAGAGGACTACAGGGAACCGGATTAAATGGAGATGTGTTGTTGAAGCTCTCTCCATGTTCCACTCGGAAACTGAAGAAATATTAATAAATAATAATGCAGAGAGCATTCAGTAGACAGTCTACTAAAATTTTAATGGATTCCTTAGTATTAACAATAATTGCCTGGAGGCAATCGGCAGATTTCTTGCTAGTTGGCACTAGTCACTGATAGAATTTAGTCTGCACCAAAGAAAGGAGTACACACATCACACCAGTTACTAGTATCCAATCAAAATCATTGCTTCTTTTAAAACTATGATTTATTTTAGAAATAATTTTTGTAGATATACCAGTTAGCTCCTGAGTATTCGCATAACTGAATGAATCTTCTCTGTTTGAGAATGCCGAAAGCAATTATTGAAGATTTAAGGATAATGTAGCACATAAAGGAGAGACGTCCTGGTCCAAATACCCTCAAGTAATAGACAGTAGGCTTTGCCCTCATTCGCTTGCAGTTAAACAAAGAAATGAACTAATTAATAGACAGGAAAATACTGCAGTGACTGTCTTACTTTAGGCATTCCATTTACTGGGTTTCATTTATTTACTTATTCACTTTTATTCATGACTTCATCAATCATAAACAAACAATAAATCAAGTTGATATATTCAAGCAAATCGATAAGTATACAAAAAATGGAAGAATTTCTGTATTTCGTTAACAGTTCTAAACGTCCAGTAATAAGGTTATAAACTAAATGATTTATATACGAGGAAAAAAGACTTATTTGTGAAAACACCGTCATCGATACACTTTATTTGTTTTTTATTTTGATGAATAATCTTTTGCCTTAGCCAGTGATGCAAGTGTTAGCTTAGAGTTAGACTGATTTAATAGAATGAAGACGACAGATTCGAATTAAAGAATTCTGTAACCAGCGAAGCATAGTTTGCTGGCATGTCGTTTACAGCAAAATATTTTTTAACCGACGCGTGTGTCTTCAAGAACTTTTCGAATGACTGGTTAGGTTACGGCTACCTCGTTTGGGCCTTAAAACTACCTCTTTGTTTGACAATCAATATTAGACGAAATAGGATTAGTAAAGCGATGAGGGATGGCACAAACCTATGAACTCATTGACTGTCGACTTGAGCCACATGTGTGAATAGTAAGAATTAATGGTCAGAAACTTGACAAAATGACTCGAAATCTCCCCAGATTGCGCAAACGTAATGACGTATTTGGTGTTTCATATTCTAAGGCTTACTATAAAATCATAATCTATTTATTCCCTCTTCCGTATGTTTACTGTAATTTCCCTGCCGTTCTTCCAAGTGTAGTAACTTAATCTGATGCATATGCAAAACGTCGGCGCTATGATAGTATGTAATTACATATTCATCTGTTCATTGGATATATCACCCAGTGAGAGAATATTACCTACCGGATGACGATTTAAACTCAAGTAATTGTTCATAATTATATCACAATTGATATATCTGTAAATTGGAAACGAAACTAGTTTGTCTTCAGAGATACTCTGTATGCGCCTTCAACTGGCCTAGCCTGTCTACTTTAGTATAAATATCACATAGTATTAGTCTGACTGTATTTATAAGTTGTTCTTTTAGCGGCAAAATTTATAGCTTCTAACAGAACTTGTCCCTTAACTCAAGTGAACTATAATCAGTGAGTTATTAATTAGAAATAACACAGTTATAGCTATTTCGATTTTCTCTCCTTCTTAAGGATTCATTTTGCCACAGAGCAAAAGATAGTTGTGAACTTAGTCTGGAAAAAAGTGTACTTTTAATATCATCAAGTCACTGAGGTTTATAAAACTAGGAAAGGGAATTCTACATATTATCAATGATATTCATGAAGAGTTTAGTCATACAGTTATTAATACTGTATAACACTTGACTAATACGGAATTATACTCTACCACAGTGCTTAATTTTCACTCTTACATTAGGCTTAAGTCAATAGCCGAACTTTTATCGTGTGTATACAACATACATTCTTGGATAATTTACTTTATTATTATTATTTTTTTTGATTTACAGCTTGATTCCACACTGTATTTTCGGTACAAGTATGGAATTTTCAGCATGGACATCGGTAGCCCAAATTTTGCAGGCCGACCATAGATATCAGATGTGCGTCGGTGCGGCCTCGAACCACGGACCATGTGCATGGTCGGCGAGAGTCCTAACCACTGTGCCACCGACGCACAGAGTCTGGTTGTATGATCTGCCGAAAACTGCTAAAACTTATACAACTCTTATGTAAATTTGACAGCTAAAGTTGTACGCTCAAGATAACCTGAAGGAACTGCAAGGGAAATGATATCGGCAGTGAGGAAGATATACTGGGAATTGAAAGAAAGAAAAATAAAGATGGAAGGATGGAACGTGGGTAGTTATCCAAAAGTGTGATCGGTTGAATTCTATGCACACTAATAATACAGGTTCAAATTCGGTCAAACTAAAATGTCGAATGAATCAACATGATTAGTGTTGTTAAAAATCACAAGAATGAAGCAATTATTAAATAAACTTCGATAGGTGGTTATATGCAAAATAGTAGATGAATTTGAAGATTGTGCTAGAAACATGTTAGATAAAATTTTTTCACATCATAACACAATGATATAGTATGAATAAATGAATGACTTCCCTTGAGTACCACAGTGAACATATTCCACCCTCATAATAATTATTTTAAATAGCTACAATTCAGAATGTGTTCTTTGTTCACCCTTTAACTAAGCCAAAAAGTTTTTTGATAAAATTTTTAACTGTATTATATATTTGCATAAAAATAAGCAAATGAAACTCTAGCCTTAAAATTCTAAGGAGCATTCAGTTTAATTTAGGGTACTTTATCTTTGGAATAAATTAACAGACGATTCGTATCAAAATTCAGCCAATCACTTAGCTTTAATTAACCAACTTGGTTTGTTTTTGGAAAGTTGATAGTTTATTCTTTATTTTTTTTTATATGTGATGACTAATCAGATGCTAATTGACAATAATGCCAATGAAATCTCATGAAAAGGACTTTAAAATATGAACATTAGTATCAAAGGTCATACTCAATACAGATATAGGAAAATATGTGTAAGACTTGGGTACTCTGGTAGTATGTAATTTCATATTAATTTATGGATGTGGGAAGAGCTGGAGACTGGACATCTCCAAACTGTGGTGGAGTTATGTGGATGACACACTCATGGTAGTAAAAGCACGATATAGATAAGTTTTCCGAAGGCAACAACTCAAAGATAGGGGCAATTCAATGAATTTATGAATTGGAAAGTCATGAATACAAGCTTCCAATGTTAGATTGTAGCATGAAGAGGAAAGAAGATGGGTATTTGAACACTAGTGTTTACAGAAAACTCGCACATTCAAGTCGATATGTGGATTTCAGTTCATTCCCCTCCCCCTTAGGTTAGTAAAAGTAATATTAGTGAAATATTTAAGTAATAGATCTCAAAAACAGATTGTACCAAAGAAAATCTAAGGTAGAAAGTAAGAAACATAAGAAAATGTCTAAAACTTGACTATTATTATTTCCTTTAATTCCTAGAAGAACATAGAGCTTCAGCAGCGCGTCTCCATTGCGTTTGGTTCTCTGCCAACGTTTTCACCCCACTCCAAGTCTGCCCACACGCCTTCATTTCCTTTCCACATGACCTCCTCCAAGTCACCATTGCACTGACGACCAACTCACCGCTTCCCTTTTGGGTTCCACTCGAGCAATGGCCTGGCGTGTGATGCCACTCGGTATTTTACTTAGAGTATGGCCAATTCATCTCCATTTCTTCCTGTCGCTGATCTTTTCTGGCTAGCCATCTGATCTTGAGTATTGAGCGAAGACAACTGTTAATAAAGGTCTGAAGTTTGTTTGAGATGCTCTTTATGACGCGCCAAGTCTCTGATCCGCATAGTAGCACTGACTGACTTCACATTGGAGTTGGAAATCCGGATCTTATTTTTGATGCTGAGTGATGTTGACCTCCACACAAACTTAAGAGTAATGAAAGCTTGTCTTGCTTTTCCTATTCTGGCTTTGATGTCCTCGTCAGTTCCGTGCGCCTGTAGTTGAAACGATGCTTCCCAGGTAGGTAAAGTAGGTTGTTTCTTTCAGGTTCCTCCCATTTATGCTGGCTGATTGTTGTCTGTTGTTGTTGGTGTTGGTGTTAGCCAGGAATCTTCATCACCTCTGTTTTATCTATGTTCACTTGAAGTCCTATCTTCTCTGGGTGCTTCTTCTGCCAGCTTGTTGCTTTTCACTTGCATATCTTCCAGTTTGTGGGAAATCAGACATATATCATCGGCGAAGTCCAGATCCTTCAAGTTTTTTGTGTGGGTCCATTTTACGCCTATTTCCTTATTTCCCGTTGTCTGTCTCATTATCTAATCTACGGCAATCAGGAAAATCATTGGCGATAGTAGGCAGCCTTGCCTTACTCCCGTCCTCACTTTGAAGGATTGTGTAGTGATTATGACGCAACAAATTATTTAGGAAGTGTATATGAAATGGTAAAAGAACAATAAAAATAATAATGAATACGAAATGAGTGGCAAACATGCACATAAATATAACAACATCAACAATAGGCAATTTAAAACATCAGTAGTGTTTTCATACAAAGAATAAACCTTAGACACCTTACGTAGAATTCTTAACAAAGCAACAATAAAAGGGACATTCCCACCCACAAACTGACTTTTAAAAAAATTATGTCGGTTAAAAGATCCTGTGAAGCTCGTTAAACAAAATAATTCAGTTTATTGAAAACCGTTCAATGACTGTCACGTCAAATACATGGGGAAAAGAAGTAAATAAGATGGGGTCAATTAGATTACCGGAGCACCAAAACCTAATAAAATCTAGATTATTTGCCTCTAATAAGATAAGAAATCTGGAAAACATCTCAGCTGTAGCATTGCATGCAAATGCACACAACCAAAGCAAAAGAACGGGGTAGAGTGACAGACTTAAAGTCTAATAAAACATGAAGAAGTCGTAGATTACTAACGGAAGCTTTATTTATCGAATCAGCTGAGAGCACTTGCAATGAGAATGACTCGACATCTATCCACTCAAACATCTGGAAAAGTCTACCAACCTTATGACAAGTGGGAAGAAGAACGAGAATTATACAAATCATGCTTCGAAGCTGTTTAGCTGCAATTGATAAACTGCATTCGAAACTTTGTCATACAATAAATAACACTGTTTTATTGTGTGATATGTCAAATGAATCACAGAACAAATTTACTTTGAAATGACTCAGAAAACGTGAATGTAAGAGTGTACTTCTGTCCCTCACGACACGTTTGCACGTAATTATCGCAATTCAGAATAGGAGGCTGAAAATACCATTTCATTTTTTTTCAGAAAAATGTTCAGTGATATTGAAATTAATTACGATTAGTTTACGCCCATAGGTAACATGCTATGCCACCGAGTACGATACAGTACGATTGTTATATGAAATTGTAAAGTATGGATTGGATACCTGTGTGCCAGAATCAGTGTCTAATTCAAGAATGCAGTATGATTCTACATACTTTGTAGTGAAAGCAACATTAAAAATAAACTCGAGAAGTAAAAAAGAAAGATGAAAAATGATGAATGAACATCTAAACATCTCCCGACAGGGTAATATAGAATATTTAAATCACAGATTTACGTTAACTGCAAATAACATCATGTGTTTTTGTCAGTGGACTTACCGATGATTACGTACAGGTATCCACGAGACAGCAGTAGGTTTTTGAGCTAACAAGACCGGATTGTAAGATCTAAATTACAGAGCAGAAAAATGAAGGCTTAGTGTAATTGATTTGATTATCTAAAAAATAATATACTTCAGTGTTGACATAAGAACAATTTCCCAGATCAAAAAAAGATAACAACTGGATACTTATATAAAATACACCAATTATATGCTTGAAGACCAGTAAGGCAACAAAACACAAGGCTCACTGTAGCTTTACAAACAAAAATAGTGGCTTAGGCAGAATAATAGTTCCTTAGTAAATTAGATTAAGAGAAATCAGAAGAAAACTAGACAGCTTCTTTGACAAAGCTTGTTATTTCACATAACTAAGGCAGTGCAATGTCTAGACGAGTTCCTAATGCCACCAGGTAGTGTGATGCGACTCTATTAAAAAGGTGCTCCACTGGGTGATTGAAGTATTTCTGAAAAAACATCGGCTTAGCAAAACATTAGAAGCTAAAGGCTGAGACTATCAGCTGCTAAAATGAATTCAGCTTCATAACGTACTTTACTCTTCTGAGCTTGAAGTAAACACGATATCAGTAATTGGATATAATAATAAGAGACGAAATAAAAAGTATGTTTGGGGAAGCACTCTACAAAAGATAAAAGAAGTCAAAGTACCACTTGAACTTACTAATTACAGAAGCTTAGGATTACTAACAGTTTAAACTTTGTTGTCTGTCACACCACTTACATTATAATCAAAACTAGGAAGGCCTGTAAGAAAGCTGAATTCTAACACACACAACATCAGCTTTTAAACTGTATGTCGTACGTACTAATCATAAAACCAAAGAAGTATCATCCGTGCTACAGTTTGATTGTACAAATACACATATAACTAAAACAGCACCAAAGATTTAACAATTTCGAAATGAGTAAATAAGGTAGGTGAAAATGAAGGAAACTTACTCCAAATGTGGTAAGTCTTGGACTGATTCAGGTAACTTAGCAGTTTGTCCATAGATAACCGGTATCACTACGGCGGGCACAGAGGCAGAAGAATTCAGTGGATCAGATAAACTGGTAGTGTGAAGCACTCTAGGATCTGGCTTTGAATGGATAATATCAGGTGTTGTCCGTATTCCAGAGGGTGAGGTTACACGAAATGGAGAAAGTATCTCATTGGGCAAGGTAGAGGAATCAACTTCTTCAGTTTCATCACCTACATGGTGAAAGATTTCAACAGTTGGTTGATACTCTTTAACAACATGTGTACTTCCAAGATCAACACTCTTCGTCATAGCTTCTTGAAATGCTGCCTGTCCACCAGAACTTATTTCATCTATATTAATTTTATCCATCAACAAGTACCTCTGTGATAATTCATCAACCATACGTCTTTCAGTTGATATAGTGTAACTTTCAGAATGACTAGACGTAGATGAAGGCCATTTGGACAGGGAAATCATAGTTCCACTTAATTTCGGCGAATCACATCGCGTGGCACAAACAGATGAATTTGAGTCGTTAAGCTCCTGATTTCCAGAAAATTGGTCAACTTTCTGTGTGTAGTTAAATTTTAAAAAATACGTTTCTCAAATTGGTTTAACAGCTGAAATGAAACATTTATTTTACGAGTATTAAAGTAAAAAACCAGAAAGTGAGTCAGACTGTTTCATACAGTCAACCACCATACATGACAAATAAGTTAAACTAAGTATTTTCACTATCCCATAAATTAAAAATGGAGTAAGTAAACCTTTTGCACAGAAAAAAAGTAAACCTAACGCATAGTGCATGTTCATCCAATATTTAATACTATCTCACTGCTCTATATACTGCAAAACGCATAAAGAATAATAGATGCTTGTCTAAAAATTATTGGTAATCAATAAATCAGCATCATTTTGTCTTTCATCTGTTAGGGAATAACAGCGTCTGAAAGATGCTTTGATGATTAAGGTGATTTTGATTCACAGTCTTTGTTACCACTGTTGAGTTTTTTAAAACGTAGAACATAAAGATGATGCATAAAAACGCATACAACGTGGAAAATACAACTCTGCAACAATACTACAAGAAGAAATTTATGTATATTTGTGAACTTTAAAAAAGCACGCTAACCTCGAAATACTCTGTTAATTTCTGGGATTTTATCACAATATCTTTCTTATTTTGTTTCTCAGTAGGAGGTTTACTTTGTTCAGGCTTAACTGAACTGGTCGTCCATTCCGGTGTTTGTGTTGATGAGCCGACACGTCGAAGCTCAGAAAATATGGGGTCGGAACCCCTGTGAACCATTTCCGAACTAACCTCAACTTGGACACCACATGTAGTGAAACTTCTTAAATCTTTTTTGGGTAAAGTACCTTGGCTGCGAAGAACGGGAGACTCTGTTAAGCATCCAACATTGATTCCTGAAGAACGTTTTGTCATAGTACACCGACTGTTTGACACAGGTATTGCTTGTACATACTGAGAAACTTGTGGCTGAGGGGAGTGACTAAGAAGACCAGCATCCAAGACACTTTCCTTAGTTTCGTTTTCAAATGGTGAACAACCACGAGATTGAGTGATGATTTGCGCCTGAGAACTCACGTGACAAACTGATTTCTTCATGATGCTTAGTAGAAAACTAACAAATTCTTCGCGGTTTTGATAAAAATTCCGTATAACTTTGAGTATAATCTTTTTATATCTATCTTCCAAATTCGGGAAGGTGCGATCTAACCATTCTTTGATGACGGATTCCGTTTCATAGTATAAACAGCCGAATTCACGTGTTTCAGGTTTAGAACAGTTAACTCCAACTTCTTGAGAAGATGGGCACACACTTACACCAACACATCTAAATTTAGAAGGTGCAAGTGGGCTTGCCATAGTAGCTGTGGTTCTTTTAGTGGCTTCCGATAGTTGTGTACTAATAGTACGAGTAATAGGTCGATCGGACAAGAATTGCTTGTAGAAATAGGATTCCAACCTAGACCAATATTCCGGGGGGAACTGGCTTCTGTCAATCACTTTAGTGTCTAAATTAAGATGTTTGGCATTAGCGGTATCACTAATAACAGGGTCAGCTTTAGGAGCCTTTTTGTACGTACGAACCTCTTCTTCGACAATTTCTTCTACTTCCTCATCCGTACTATCAGAATGGATTCCATTCTGGATTCGGTGAGACTCCTTAATTTCCTCTTTTTGATGAAGAAGCATATTTTCTTCATAGAGATAACGTAGGTTATTTTGCAGAATAGGGACTTGACTAGCTTCCTCCTCCAATTTTTTAATTTGCCTTTGTAATTCACTTATTTTTGACTCATAGCTTTCTTCAACTGCCGTTGATGCATTCAGTGGCGTATCATTGATAGGCTCATTTGTGTACTCAGGGCGGGATTCAGATTGTTCTCCGCGTACTGATACACATGTTCCATAAATAAAGAATTCATCCTTATCTTCTGCATCGAAATTCGGTAAAGTGTAGACGCCTGGATTTTTACTTAACGACTGGTGAAGTTTAAATGCGCCATAGGAAGGATTACTGGAGACGGTCGAGACATCAGGATATATATCCCAATCAAAATGTTGTTCGGGGATTTCCATTTGAGAATATTTTGATATCTTTCACAGAATCAGTGCATTTATTTGTATCAATAGTTGTACCTTAGAGGAAGAGAAAATCCATGTTTTAAGAAAGGTTTGAGATGAAGGCGAAAACATTATATTAAGTATTTGTCAAATCAAGTTAGCTTTACCATAACTAGACTATATATGTGGAGTTCCAACTAGGGATGAATCATTTTCGTTTACTAAGGCACAACGAATGATAAAAAAACGAAAAGATACGACACGAGTGTGCATAGTCCAACCGACTTTTGAGATAATGTTCGATACCTATACGACAAAAGTACGTTTAAAGCACGATTGGTTTTGAAGCATTTGTCATAGTCTGTAATTACTCATTCATAGCTTATACAGGATAATTCACAGAAACCGCAAACTTAGCAACGGGAGAACTCAAAGATTAGTGCTGTATTTAGGGGCACTAACCCTAACCCGATAAAAAATGTTCAATATTAGGGCGAGGTCAGGAAATTAGTAGGCACTGTGCGACATTGGGTTATAATGCTAATAAATATAATATATTATCATGCCAACCAGGAACCAACCGTAATTCTATACAGCTCACAATGAGCCACATCTATAGAGTAAGGGTAGTACTTCATAGTACCTGACATCCCAAACCTGGGTAGATGGAGCGAGGTTCTAACCCACGAACCACAAACTGGAATTCGAGCAACCAGACTAATAAGAGACAGCTCAACAGATTATAATGCTTATAAATCAGAACCCAGTGGTCGATGAATTCACTTCATAGCACCATCTTCAACTAATGTCATGGACGAGCATTTGTTAGATAATGATAAAACGAACTCTGATATAAGAAAATTTATTAAACATTCTGCTAACTTATTCAAATGACCAGCACAACTGTGTAATTGTTAAGAAAACTCAGAGTTATTCACTTATACACAGAAATTAAGGGGAGACATCCCTGTAACATGAGGAACAAATCGTCCAGTCTTATGGTAAGTATTGAGAGATAAGGCATGAATAATGAAAAAATTACTAGCCCTAAAAACGAAGCAATTTAAGTTATTTCGTAGGGTCTTAAAAGCACTACACATAAGCAAATTCAGGAACTCGTTTGATTGAAATACACTTAGAAAATAGACATTTCTGTAGGAGTGTAGTGATGTTAATGTCGCACAGAGTGAAAAATACGAAAAGGATTATAAGGCTGAGTATTGTGTTTGTGCTCCAGGTTTTGTAGGTCAAAAGGTTGGAGAAATGCAACAAAATCCAGTGTACGGGTGAAAATAATCACATATTTTAACCCAGCATACAGCTTAAGACAATAAACGTTGTTGAGAAGGCGTCTACATGGCTCATTAAAACACCGAGTTAAAGGCTGCGGTTGCACGTTACTGAATAATAAGTGAGGAAACAAATCCTGGAATATATTTACATTTCCATTCGTCATACGAAATAAAAAACTAGCAGAATGGGATCGATTATCCTTACGTTCTAAAACAGTAACTATACAGATCCTTGTAACCTCATGGATTGGAAATAACTATTATTACCAGGAATGTAATCTTATGAAATGAAAAGTTTCAGCATCATCATTCAGAAAATAAAATGCTTATAACTCAAAATCCCGAATAAATAGTTTGAAGTTATTTGGTCAAAGACGTGTAGACTTTCGTATATTGGCTTTGAAGCATTCTGGATAATCACACAATTTTCACATGACTTGCAACTTATTACTTTGCGAATAGTAAAAAGTATGGAAATGGTCTTAGGCGAACCAAGTTGACGGACTATTCGTAAGAAAACGTAGGGTAAGAAGAGATGTAAAAGCGTACCGCTTTTCCCCTTGTTTCAGTCATAATGCATAATGAAAAACTAAGAAACATAAGAGTAAACGGCACGACATTTGGGACGACCGATAAATGCATAAACTACAGGTGACTGAAATAAAATCCGACATGCAAAACATTTGAAACTGAGTCAAAAAGTATGCCAATGCAAAGGATTTTAAACATAAATTTGAATTTGAGCTACAGATAGTAACATGACAACAGGCACAAAAAGATGTCAACGACGTTTCTATAACCGAAGAATCCTCAGACGGTTTTCACACAAGTTCAGTCAAAACAGGATCTTACCCATGTTTTGATATTTGTTTTGTAATATTTCATTACAGTCTAAGTTAGTTTTTCATAAATACTTTGGTAAACTAGTTTAGAAACATGTGAGCTACTTTGATATTGAGTCCATGCTGAACAGCAGCCGACTCTTCAGCGAAATACGATAATTCCGAAAATATGAGCAACACAACAAGTCAGAAAAATTACTAAATTTATCTCCGAAATGTCTCTAAACGGACATCCAGGCATAAAATTAGGATTAACATACAAAATTCAGCGCTTTTTAAGCGCCAGAGTGAACCCTGAATAAACCTTGAAAAACTATTGAGTAAAACAAAAATCCAAAAATAAAGTTGTATATACTATATTGAATATTTCACTACTGAAATCATTGACCAGTTACTTTATGCTTTTTTTAAAGTTGGTTGTTACTCCCAGATTGGCTTACACGGTATCTGATATTGTTGCTATTTGACCTTGCAGATTTTTTAAATGAACATTTGGTTGAGTTGTCATTAGGAGGATTTGATTTTCACAAAAATGAGCAGAATCAAAGAAATTTTACGTCAGAAAGTGTTTTCACAGTATGATGATCCTGACTTGTGGGTAAAAAATTACTTGACGAATCCTCCTGTGTCAGAAGAAGAACTAGAACATCTCAGATCAGTAATGCAAAAGGACAGAGCTCTTAAAAAGTCCGACTATGAACGGATTGTGTAAGTCCTGAATGCGTTTTTGATAATGTATCTTCAAACGAAACATTTCAGAGTATAAAGCTGTGAAAACAAAACAAACTAAACTAAATATTCCTTAAATTCAAATGTCTCTCTATGAAGCCAAGATGTTTGTAAATTCACAGGTGTCTAGTCTAGGTTATTTTATGGATAAGTCATTTTTCTTGAGAGCCCATCAATCGATATTAAGGTTTTCAATGAACGTTTTTCGTCACACTAATAACACTAGGCCTAGAGTTAATGGAATAAAATCATCCCTCATTTCGATTTTAATCAAGTCAACTGAATAATGTTTATTCTTCTATATCAGGGGCCTGTTATGATGAAGGAAGCTACCAGTAATACTGAATGAATCCTACTAGGTTGTAGACTACTTTTTGACTTTATTGTCAGCTAAATGTTGTAGGCTGGTCAAATATTATTTAAGTATTATAGATTCTTTTAAAAAATGGTCGATGAACAAATAATTTTCTATTACTCTGTTAAAAGTGTTTTAAGATTTTCTGGCAGTTTATCTACTGAATATTGTCTGGGGGTGGTATTCATTTTAATCTTTTGTATACATGTAGATCAATAGTGTTTTTGGTTTAATGCATATGGTTATGGCAGCTTCTTATTGGGAGGAACTTCGTTCAGTAGTCCTTCTTTCGGGAAAATTTTAATGGGTATATTTCACCAGTAAAAATAGCATTAATTCATCTAGTCTCAAAACATTGATTAGATGAATACCTCAAATTTCAGATAGTGAAGTGCATAGAGACGATTTGCAATTTATGACAAGAGGCATAGAAGACTGACTGTTGAAAATCTCGGGGCAGTTAATAGATCTCGACAACACAATAAGGACGTAGTTTATCTGAAACGTGTAGTGTATTGGCGCATTACATTTCGGACATCCTGATCACACCCGTACTTGTCATACACAGTGTTTATAGAAGGCAAGAAAGCATGAATAATTACAATACAGGTTAGATTGTGTACAGGTCAAGGTCAAAAATAATGGATAGGGAGACGCAAAAGGTGTGGGTAAGAAAGATAAAGAGAGGAAAAACAAGGCAAAGAAGGGGTTTGAAAATATTATGAAGTAAATTGGTGCTTGGTTCTAAATTGGATTACCAAGGCAGGTTTAAGGTGATAGCAAATAACTTTTAGACGCATAAGACAGGTCTTTTTATGGCTAAGGCTTCAATGAATTTAAGTATGTGATCCAACCTTGTTTTATATATCGGCTTAAGGGCATTGTTAAAATCAACCCTATGACCCGTCTTTATAATATGCTTCGCTACAGATGATGTTGGACATTTATTTCCGGGGTCACTTGTATCTGACAATTTCATTTGTTGTTGCAGCCACTTTGGAATGTGTTCTGTAGCCTTAACATGCAGAGCTCGATGGGTCCTCCCGTGTCTCCACGTGTCTCCACACGTACATGTAATTTGATAAGCACAGTGGGATGTGACACTATCGTTCGGATAATGTAAAGGGTTTACAGGATAGCATAGTTCTCGTTTTCTCTATGAAGACAAGTTTAGCTTCATAATAGGTTCTATTAATTGTGGCCTTTAGTTTTTGTCTAGTGACTAGACTTTGTTGATCACCTCTGATCGGCAAGGATATGTAAACATCCTTTTTGGGAACTGATTGGATTGGTAAAGCTATATGGTTGATACTTCCGTTAATAGATCACTCTTGTCAGATCCCATTTCAGTTTTGTTGCATAAAATGTTGTCTCAGTGATTATCATACTTTGCAGAACGCCGTCCTTTAAACGTACAAGCCCACGGTTTCTAGATAAGTTTAGGTTGACATGTAGTGACTTTAAGTTTGAAATTCTTAAGTAGATTATCATTTTCGCAATAGTAACTGATATTCTTCGCAAATTAGTTACAAAAGATAATGATTCACACCTTCTTACTCTTGCTACTTGCCTAAAAGTTCCCAGTATTTAATTACGTTTGACATTTGAAAAGCCACAAGTAAACCCTATCGTTAAACTTAGGCTTGAAATGGGATCTCACCTCAATAATTCATCGGTTCGGTTTATGTAGTAACTAAAAAGTGACTAATTTCTAGATACCTCTGTTATTGGACTTCATCATTCATGCGAGAATAATCATCTAGTGCTTTCATTTTGGCAATAATCAAGTTTATGTGAAAATGTATTGCATAAGTTTTTGAATCTAAAATGATCTCAGTTTGTCAAGTGTCTTATATGTGTAGTATGCTTAATTCTGGCCACTGTGTTCCACCTCATGTCAAACTGCAATAAAAATCTGTGTCTGTTTGCTACCCCATCATACATAGAACATTTAGGCCTCTGATACATGTTATTTTGCTGAAATGTTTTGTCACATACACATTTACGTGTCTGTTGATTATCGCTTTCCATCACTAGATGCATATGCATCTATATATATTGTTCATTTTTTGATCATATCTAAAATCGCAATCATTTGATAGCATGCATGCATGTTGGAAATATGTGGGAAGATAATGAAAAAAAGTAATTATTGTTATTTTGTTTATTACTTCTCCATGAAAATCGCGTGTAAGTTGAACTCAGACAGTTTTGAACGAACAAGGTAGAAAATAGTCGCCTACACTAATTATACGCAAATCTAGTGCCATACATACCAAATCAAATTCTCTTAAAAGAGACAATATTTTTCCCTTTTGAATAAAATCTGTTAATTTTTAAAATATAATAAACTAAGTTTACTTTATCCATGTTAATAGATAGCACTGTATTCCGAAATCCCGTCAAGTATCCTAATCATAGAAAATTCCCATTGTGACATATAGAAAATCAAAACAAGTGATTCAGCCAAGAGACTTTTCAACGAATTTATTATCAAGCTGTACAATGATATATATATATATATATATATATATATATATATATGGTTTTTAAGAAATTATATCCGGTGAGGGAATTATGTCAAAGGTGTGATTACATGAAATAGTATGAAATGTAACAAATATATTTGTGATTGTAATCATAGTTTAATGTCAACTGGGAAAATAATTAATGTCATATATAGAATAATACATAAGGTGTATAGATTTTGGAAAGGGGTACATAATTATAGGATTAGTAGACGAATATAAAATGTCACATAACATGGTGTAAAATTTGAAAAGGTAGAATTCAGTGTTGTAAAAATGAAAATAAAAATTATGAAAATTAATAGTTTTGGGTTCAAAATGACAATATATATATATGTATATATGATTGTACAGCTTGTTAATAAATTCGTTGTTGAAGAGAGTCTCTTCGCTGAATATTGCATTCTTGATATTGAATCAGTTTTGTTCTCTGAGCTGTTCAATTTAATTGCGCAATTAAATCAACCAGCTCACAAAACACATCTGTTTCGAAGTGCATTTATTTTACCAAAGAGTTATGACTAAAACCCATTCATTCCTTAGGAAACGAGTAGAATTTTCAGCTTTGAAAGAATATTTTCTGTAAGAAGGAAAAGCGTGTATACTCTGGGTTGCAAATTCCTATTCACTAACTGAAATTTTGACCGTTAAATTGCTGAGGTGCAAATGAATCACTAAAATGTCTTGAAAAACTGTCCGTTAGTTAAGCGTTTAAACAGTGACAAAAATTTGAGTGAATAAAGCTTTATTTTACTTCTTATGGATCCTTCTTCATAATCTTTTGAACCGTACATGCCAGCGAATATCAAATTCTAATTGCATATGGTGGTGTTCCAATAAAAATAATATGCAATAAGTCTCAAGTTTCAGTGCATAGGATGTTTTAGTGCTCTCTGTCAGTCGCATATATAAAGTGAGAAAATATCCAAATGTGACCTGATGTCTACATTTATTGGTGTCTCCGAAATGATTGTTAAGTGACTGTTAACTACCTTGCTAGATTTATAGCCGGTCCCAAACCTGGGTAAAGAGGCAGGGTTGGGCGTGAGGCTAGCGACCTCACACCACTAAACTTACCAAATCTCTAGAGAAACTTCAACTGGCAGAAAATATATTAAAATTACAAAAAAATCAAGCAACAATCTTCTTCGCTGGAATCATAGAGGCAAAAAGACCCGGGCTGGTGAAAGCCGTCGGGAAGCCAGCCAGCCGATGTGTCTTCTCTCGATGAAAGCAAGAATACGAATGGAACGTGTAATGTCCATGCAATCTACAAGGATGGCTGGGAAGGCTGCCCAGGTAGCCAACGAAGATATGGCATAGAAGTGTTGGGTATCTTCAACAGCAGGTGGAATGAATGTGGACTGTCAAAATTGTCAACCGGAAGGTCAGTAATCTACTCCAGTCCGGTCACCCAGACAACAACCACGAACACACTGAAGCGCTGCGTGGCTATAATGATGTCACTAATGGCAGCCAGAGCCCTAATGCAGTAGGAACCGATCTCATACAGTATCACAACAGCAAGATTTAACACAGAAGGAATGAAGGAGGGTTACAATTATCCAATGCTATGCACAGTGCTACAAACAACATGGAACAAGAGAAGGAGAGATATTTCTACGGACAACTACAATCAGTAATTGACAACATCTCAAATGGGAATATCGAAATCCTCATGGGTGATATGAATGCAAGGCGAACTGGGAGCAGATAATACAGGAAGAGAACTCATCATGGGTCGAGGTGCTCTCGCTCGAAGAAACGAATCAGAAAGGAGTATTGTTCGCAGACTTTTTCGCTTTCAATGATCTGGTGATCGAAGGAAGCGTGTATAAAAACAAGGATATATACAAAGTAACATGGATTGCGCCTGATGGACACGCCACAAACCACATAGATTTCATCCCAGTGCTGCTCAAGTAGGTGGTCGGTCTGTCGAGAAGGGGAGCAGTCTCACCATCATCTAGTTCAAGGAACCTTCAAGATGAAGCTGAAATCTCTGAAAACAACTGAAGACAGGACACTGTGTTTCAAGTGCAACATTCAGAAACTGTAGGACAAAACCAAAAGGGATTAATTCACTACAAGTCAGATCAGATGGGCTGGTCATTTTGAAGGATTTTTGAATCTACCGCCACCTGCAACTCGCCTATAAATACCACCAACAGAATGTGTGGAACTGCCATTCGACACTAGTCCTCCAATGAAGGCAGAAGTACTGGATACGATCAAGCTACTGAAGTTCGAGAAGCCATTAGGACCAGGTGGGATTCACCCCCATTCCGAAGCACAGAGAACAGACCAGAGACTGCCACATATACGCTCACGCCATTATTGCAAAAGGTACCTACTGATTGCAAGAAAAGCTACCTCGTCAAGCTGCCAAAGAAGGGCGAATTACGCCTAACTCTGCAAGAACTCGCGTGGAATCATGCTCTTGTCCATGCCAAGTAAAATACTAAGTCACGTCATCCTGGAGAGAATGAAAGATGCACTGGATGCACAACTCTGCCACGTATTGGAACAAAGCGGATTCAGGAAAGGCAAATCATGCGCTCATCAGATTGCAGCTCTACGCATCGTCATAACAGAACAAAGGATAGAATGACAGTCAACACTCTCTCCACCTCAACTTCATCGACTTCAAAAAGACCTTAGACAGACAGCGTTAACCGAAAGGTAATTTGGAAACTACCTCAACACTACGCCGTGCAGTGTGCAACTCTTAATCAACCTGATTCAACAGCTGGCTTTATGACAGTGCTACGTGTTAGTCAGGTGATCTACAACGGAGAACTCAGAGAGGTGTTCGAAGTGGAGACAAGAGTAAGACAGGGCTGCCTATTATCACCAATGATATTCCTAATTATGGTGGACAGGACCATGCGTGAGACTGTGCATTGAGAGTGAGAAGACAAGAATAGTTTACAGAGACTGATAACAAGACTCTAGAAGATCTGGATTTTGAGCGTAAATGATTTATGTCTAATGTCACATAAACTATAAGACTTACAGGAGAAAACCAACAAACTGTCTGAAGAGGCTGGCAGTAAAGACAGAACTGCAGGTGAACATAGAGGAGAGGGAGGGGATGAAGATAATCAACGAACCGCAACAACCAGCACCAATCACCATCAACGAGAGAAATTTAACCGAGTTTACCTCCTTCACTTATCTGGCTGGGAAGCATCGTTTCAACTTCAAGCAATCGGAACTGATGAAAATGTCAAAGCCAGTCAGAATCAGAAAGGCAAGATACACCTTCATCAACTTGAAACCAGTTTGGAAACCTTCTACACAACAACAACAGGATTCGGATTCTTGACACTAATGTCTAGTCTGACCTTCTGTATGGGTCATAAACTTGCACTGCGCGTCACGTCAAGCATTTCCAACAGGTTGCAGAATTTTATCAACAGCTGCCTTCACTGGCTCCATACTGACGATCAAATAGCCAGCCGGTCAGACAGAATTAGTAGCAATAAACTGTGTGAGTGAATGGAGATGTATCGGGCATACATAGAGGAGGATGTCGAATGACATCGCGTGCAATGCAGGCAATAGCTAGAGTGAAATCCCGTTAAAAGCGACGAGTAGGTCGTCAGTGTGTGTGTGTGTAACATGGAGGTGATCGTCTTGCGAGGAGGAGATAAGAGATCATGGTAAATCGTTGACCCATCTGAAGAGAAATTCAGAAAATAGAAGTAAGTGGAGGTGTATGGTTGAATAGCTATGTTCCACTTGGAACCCATGGGAACAATAATAACTGTTAATGTTCGAAAAGTGTTACAGAATAGTAGTTTTAAACTAAAATTATTGAACTTTGAATAACCTTTGTGTGAAAAATACGGAAATATGTTTTTGTTATTTCTAGTGAGTTGGTCAAAGTGTTTCCCAACAAACTACATCCAGAACTGCTGCACGATACAATGTGTCAGATAAGCTCTAGACTTCCAGCTGTACCTGGAAGTGGTCTTGTCTCAACCTGCAGACCAATTTTACCCTCCAGGAATAAGATTCCTGATGAAGTAATACCTGAAAATCCACGCAGACGAGGAGTTTGTGCATCACTGTTTCCACAATGTGCAGTTCAGACAAAATTCTCAAGATTATGCCCGAAATGCTGGCAGAAATACAATCCTTTACTCGAAAATTATCGGTGTATTATTTGTGGTGCTTATGTTTGTCAACAATGTGCATTTAAGGTTCCCAAAAAGATATTGGCCGTCATGTGTAAAGAATGTTGGGAGATTGCGTAAGTATGCATGTGTATTAATAATATGTTATCGTGTTCTTATTTGAATTTGGGAAACGTTTTGGTAGCGTGATTTGAAGATGGTTAATATAGCCAAGTATTAGAGAGAAATAATTTAAACTACCGGAGTGAATAATAATATAAATAAGGTATCTCGCAAACTGTTCACTAGAAAAATACTAGGTAATCATAAATGAGAGCATGTTAATATAAAGTATTTTCGATGTAAGATGTGAGTCTCATTACTTATTTTACTCATTATTTTGATAAATTCTCACAGTGTTATACAGCAATATTTTCTGATGACGTTTTGAACACAATTTGTTTTTCATAATCATATCAACTTGCTTGAAACATCATCACTAAATATTACTGTACAACATTGTGAGACTTTATCAAAATATACTCTATCACAGTGCACAAGTTTTATTCTTATATCAGTAGAGCATTTTGTTGCTGAAATGAATAAAGCAGGTATCAACTGTTATAAGCTCAACAAGAGCAAGTCAGTCAGCCAAACTCGCATTTAATTAGGCAGTTTATTAAACCTTAACTTTTGAAACTGTCTTTCCTCATTTTGAATTCTAATATACTTGGTATGACTTTAATGGTATCAGTTAATGATTAAGTATTAGTTTGTAGGGATTTGATTGGTTACAGGATTACATCATCAGCCGACAGCAGTTAGAGAACCATTGGAAAACTTGGGAGTACTGGACAGCTGTTTCGTCCTAGTTTGGGACTCTTCAGTAGTACTCGCCCACTAAGGTTCGAATCTAGGACCTCCTGAATACAAGGTAACCCCGTAGACCATCAAGCCACTGTGACTAGATCCAATGGCCCATGAATTCTGACTTCTGCAAATTCACAACATATTGTGACCGCTAGCCAGAATCTTTGATGAGTATTTGTCCCCACCCCTATCTGCTGCCCTCTACTGGTCATGAATCCAGGTGACTACCTTCTTGAATAGGCCCAGTCGCCAGTGAGAATCTTATTGATATACAAGTATTATTTTTGTAGGAATTTGACTGATTGGACAGCCGTCCAGTACTCCTAATTTTTTCAATAGTTCTCTAACCGTTGTCAGCTCATCATGAAGTGCAGTAACCAACTAATATTTGTTAATACATTCACGGAGATTTATTTTGCAACTGGGATCCATGTCATTAAGCAAGAATAACGTAAGTTACCTTAACTATGAAAATCGGGTTGGTTGGTTCATGTTTTTTTCTTAATCGTTCACACACGCCGTTGGTTAGTACTACTAGACAACATCTTCCATAAAACTCTCAGGTTTCGTTTTAGGTGATACAAAATTTCGGATATGTTATTTGAAGATCTGTAGTCCAAATGATGGCATTTTTTGTGTTGATGCCTGCTTTGAAGAAGCACACAGTCAAACGATTAAATATCTCATGAACAAAATTTTCTATTTGGATACATTTGAACATGATAACAATAAAATCGAGAAGATAACCAAACACAGCCTAGAATTTCATGGATTAAGGTTGTTTTACTAATGAAGAATTGCAACATTTTCATCGTATGTATTATAAGTGACCTAATCACCTGACGATTCTCTTTGAAATAAAAAGTGCTTAATGCTACTGTAACAACAGAAGACAAGACACGGAAGACAATTTGTATTTTTAATTGATATAACCGCTATATATGTAATCCTCACTACAGCTTAAAGGCCAGTAGCACTACTCTTTTTCTAAAAGTTCTAATGTGAGATTAATAATAGTTGGTTGTGTTTGGCATTAGATATGTTCTCCTTGTGTGTTAGAAACTATTTATTTTAGTTTTCAGTTGAGCACATGAATTTAGCTGAAATACAGTGATTTTCTTAGTCCAAATAAATCTAACAATGAACTTCAATCAAAAAAGTTAATGTATACAATGAAGCAGCAATGAAATTGTAAAGATAGCCTACCTTACTGCTTAAAAACGTTGAACAATATTCAATAAAGTATCGCTTTTAATAATTTCTTCTATGGTACTTTTTAAATTAATAACCCATATGAAACTAAGTTCTTATGAAATATTATCTAAGTAGTAGACATTCAGAGAAGATTAATGAAATATATTAGACACACCCGGTATAAATAAAGGATTCTTTTCGTTCTTCTCAAATCACTCCAACTTATGCATCCTATCATGATATCAGCGACGTTTGTTTTGGAGTGTAGACTGATAGAATATAAATAAATGAGTTTAAAACGAATGCTTCCAAAAAGTGATTGACATGTTCTTTGATTTTACTCTCCATAATCACAGTACCATATGAAATAGTTCACATATGTTTACATTATATATGTATATATATATATATATATATATTGTCACAGCAGCTAACTTACTCCATCCGATCAATATACAAAACTGAAAGCTGATTAACGGAGTCGGGATGACATTACTGAGATCGAACTAGTATCCTTGAGAAATTCTGAAGTTTCCTGTCTGCGTTAACCTAGTTTCAATCAGTGCACTAAATATCGTGACAGCTGAATAAAATTTAACATATTTTATATGCAAATAAACAACAAACCCTAGGAAGTTGCACTTTTGGTTACGCTGACATAATGTACTGGTGTAAACGCAATGATAGTTCATCTGATGTTAACTTCGTGTTATTTGATAGGTGATTGCTAGCTTTAAAATAGTGAACGATAGTCACTACTTTCAAATTTCAGAAGAAAAACCATTTCTAATTTGATTTTAGATGAATCTAGTTAACGAGTTTTCAACAGGAGAAAATTTGACTCTATTGTCAGCTACTGCCTATCAAGTAACATCAGAAGTGGTTTTTGTTTCTTTGTTAAAATGTTAGTTAGGTCGAATAATGAAACAAAGCCATAACCTTTGAAATTTATTTTAGGAAATGTTACTGTAAAACAGGCGATTGGTTCAATCAATACGTAGAGTCAAAACTACCCACTCCACTGAAGTTTGACTTTCAATTTATTCAGCCTCAAAGTGGTAATAATAAGGCGAGTAAGTTGGGCTATTGTAATAGTCTGTTAGTGTCTTCATTTTATGATAAATTCCTTTTATTATAATACAAGGAGAGTAGAAATGTGTGCTAAAATTTTCAATCTGAGTGAATATATTCATGCTGACAAATTCTGAAATTCGACTCATTATTCGAAATCTGATGAAATGCCATATACAAGAAAACAATGCAAACCAAAAAGAGTTATTGTTGATCAATCATCTAAGATATTATAAAAATACAGGATGATTCCACTGTTAAAATCCAGTGATACATAAGGAGACCATATTTTTTGAATAAGGTCGTTAGCTTATGTCTTCTAATGGCAATAATAACGATAATGATATAGTCCACACATATAACAAGTTTTACGGTTTAAATCTAATAGTTACAATGAAAGGATGGAAAATCAGTATCCACTTTGAAAGATAGAAACTCTGTCTTTAAAAAATTATACCTAACTTCCGGAGTGAAATGAGTGACACCTGTTGGTGTGGGCTCCATTAAATAATTGGAAACCACAACAGAGTCTGTAATTTTATATACAGGTTGCTTGTTTCCATGATGTTCATTCGACAAGTATGGTACAGCGTTGGTATCTAAACAACGGAAAAATTCCACTGACTAAAAGCATTTCAATTTCTGTGAAAATCCATCACACCTGTTTTCCTGAAATAAGTAAAACCTAGCGAACCATTCAGAATTAAGTGCACGAAAATGAAATGTCTAAAACTATTGACGTTATCGATATTGTGTGTACAACAGCCAGTGTTGCTGCGACAAATTATCTCAAATATTAACTATACTGAGATTTAGAAAAGTGGTTTCATTGTTTCAAAGAATGATACTCAGTTCACTGCCGTATTTCTCGAACCGAAAGTTACCAAAGAAAAAATCAGAATTAGACATATTCATCCTAATGTGTTCAATGGGTTTGGAGATACTTCCTTGCGTTAACAGTCTCAAAAATATGGAATATAGAGATATTGACGTATAAACACTTAACAGTCAGTTCACTGGTTACAGATAGTCCGGACACTTTGATTTTTCAAACGTATATATATTTGTGTTTAGGCGGTGAGCTGGTTGCACATTTTGCTGGAAAATGGGGTGAAAAAATAAAAGTGAGTAACATGTACTACATTATTCTTTAAAAGAAATACAACTTTGATTCTGAAATAATTAGTATCCATTCATTGATTGTCCTATCTCTTAGGTTGATTCTAAGATTGAGTCACTTTAATCATTTACTGAGAGAAAAAATCTATGTCACAAGATATTCCGTACCACGTCATTTAATACCATATATGAGGAATAATATAGCAAATAACCAACATGAAAAGCAGGCAGTATACACAGCAGATTATACACAAAATAGTTACATAATTATTAACAAAAGTAGTTGAAATTACACAAACGATGTTAGCTCGACCACAGCTATGATGACAAAAAGATCTACAAAAACATTCTCTCAAAATCATACACAACACTAGATTAATAAAAGGCAGAAAAAGCGTATATTTTTACTATTGTTTCAAAACATACTTATTTATTCCCAAGTTTCAACCTTTCTAGGAGAAATCAAAGTCTTCAATGGTAAGTTATTTTGATAAAAATCACACTACAAACAGTCTTACTTGTAAACACATTAGATGTATTGGTTGCTAGTATTTCACTCAAGTAACGTTTCCCAGTAACAGTGCAGAATTTATCAAATGACAGTTAACTGGCTATTTTGTTGAGCGACACTACTTAGTTCTGATTATCAGAAAATCGAATGAAATGAAGAGCTCTTGTGTTTTTCACAAGATTTCATTTTAGTTGACTTGAAGTAGGATCGAGTTAGGAATCTATATCAGTAGTAGTACCGTAAAGCTGCATTTGCTTCGTCTTCGTTCCAAACGCCAAGAGCCATCAGCACGATAGTACGAACAAGCAGATATTTAGTCACTGAGATAAATACCAAAAGTGTGTTTCCATCCAACTTCATCTTTGATAGAGTATTATAAACGGTCAGAATTCGTATGTCATAAGTGATTGAATAAGCAGTTAAAATTGACTTTTAGTTTGTTTAATGCTGATACAGAAGTTTTTGATTTTCAAATCACATCGATGGACGATTTCGGGCTTCATAAAGCTAATTAGGAGTTATTTCGTCACTTACCAAGAGAGTGTATGCGATAAAAATACCGGTCTTCATGTATTTTTCTTAAATAAAGTTGTTTCGCCAGTCTTTGTCTTCTGCGACTTCGCTGTTTAGTGAGGTAGAAGTTACGAGGGAAGAACAGTTGTATATTTCACTCAATTAATGTGCCTATCTGCATGTGCTCAGCTCTGTTGGACACGTTTTATAACGTTCGCTGTTCTTGAGTTCCGTAACAAAGCAGCCAACTACTGCATTCTGGCTTTAAATGGTCACTCAATTTATTGCCGAATAATGACAATTTTTGTTTTGAAATAAAACGGAAGTTGAGTGTACAACCCTAGTTTTAATTGCTATATTTAATGGTCTTATGTGTTTGTACAGAACTCAGCTGAGCAGTGACATGCTATCAAACATTTCTTTACCAAATATGGGGAGTTTTCATTTGTTCATGTTGTACAAACATCATTCTCAAACGCCATAATCGTGCAGGATCAGTCGATAGAGATTTTCTTAACATGTAAAAAATGTCAATTTATCAATGACTACAAAATTTGTTAATTTTTTCTCGCTTCAGTCATTGCCACTGAGACAAAGTGAGTGTGTCAATAATACCATTCCTATGACTAGTTATATTGCTTTCAATAAATTTCATTCAAATCTGTTGTCAGAATGTGATATATTTAGGATAATTTTTCGCATATCCTGTGCCAAAAATCAACTTGTAACATACTAGGATATATGAGGTCATGAGGTTCTATTGTTTATGAAGTCAGACTGCTTTTGCGATAGGTGATGAATTCGGCTTGTAAGTCACAACTGCAGATATGAAGTAGAAGAGCACTGTTAACAAATGCGTTTTGGTTGAGCTCTGATGAATGGTGGTTGGTATCACTTGATGTGTTTACGTGTAATGGTATTCTTTTTTCTTAATGGCACGTAAAGCTTTGTCAGTACATCTCCACTGTGTCCTGTTCTCTACAGTCCTCGTTAGCTGGTTTGATGATCGCCCATAAGCTCTGATCTCCTCCTTAGACTACCTTTGTCACGTCACAGTTGGACGCCCAACTCCTCGTCTCCCATCGGTTCTGCAGACTAGGACCTGGCGCTCGTTGTCCCGGAAATGTCTCCTCATTGTGTGTCCGGTCCATCTTTCTTGATTTCTGTATATTTTGTGATCAGTATGTTTTGGGTCCCTTCATTCCCATAGTTTCTTGTTGTTAATTGTTTCTGGTCATCCGATCTTCAGCACCGAGTGAAGACAGCTGTTGATAAGGGTTCGCAAACTGTTGGAAGTGCTTACGGTGACACGCAAAGTTTCTAGCCCATGTAGAAGAACTAACTTATTATTGCAGTATAAAATCCCAATTTTTATTCCTTGAGCTAGGCGCCGCCGATTATCAAGCTTATATCGAAGTGATGAATGTCTAATTATCGTTTTAATATCTTCATTCGTCCCTCCGACTATAGTTGAATTTCCCGTCATATCGCTCCCAACAGTCTGACACATAGATAGTCCACCACAATCTGGAATATCATCGTTGGTGATAGTAGGCAGCCTTGTCATACACCCGTCTTCACTTCAGCAGTTTCGCTGACGTTTCCGTTGTGGATCACTTGACATGTGGCATTGTCATATAGTTCTCGAATGAGATTGATGACGATTTTGGACACTGTACAGTGTTGGAGTGTATGTTGGTGGTTCAGTGGTAGAATGCTCGCCAACCATCCACGTGTTCCGGTGTTCGATCCCCGGTCGACTCACTCCTAATCTTCACTAAGATAGTACTAAGCCTGATGAATAGGTAAGGTCGGGCGTGATGTTTATCATTTCACACTGAAAAATTAAAACCATTGCTATCGAAACTTAAAAGCTGTAGCTTGAAACTCTATGTTCCACTCAGGACATAGAGGAGGTAAATGAAATAATCACAAAATATATAATAGTTTTGAAGTGGTTTCCAAATTACTTCGCGGTGAACGCCATCTAAGACCCTTTCAAAGTCGATTAAATTAAGATGGAGAGTTGGCTGCCATCTTATGCTTCGTTCTATGATGATGCTATGGTTGCAATTTGATCCTCATATGACTTGCTTCTCCTGAATCCAGCTTGTTTCAGTCGCCATTCTTTATTCAGTGCATCTTTTACCCTCTTCAGGATGAGGCGACTTAGCGTCTTACTCGGTGTGGACAAGGTTGTGATTTCGCGCCAGTTCTTGCAGAAGCCTCAGTTAACGTTCTTTGACAGTTTAACAAGGTAATCTTTCCCCCAACCAGTAGATACGTTTCCTCTCTTTCAAATGTTTTGCGATCGTGGTGTCGGCATATCTGTTGAGGTCTTTGTGTCTGTTTTCAGTGCTCCACAAGGGATTCTATCTGGTTGTTCTGCTTATCTCACTGAAGGATTGGTGTTCACTAGCAGTTCTGTGGCCGGAGTTGGTGGTGTATTTCTGGATGTGTTACAGGTGACGGTTGATTCAAGAGTTCTTTGAAGTGATCAGCTCATTGTTTTATTTGTCTCTGTTCTCTAGCAATTGGGTCTCCTTGATCAACTTATGTAGATGTCAAATGTGTTGTTCTTTTCTCTAATAGAGACCTAGTTATCTGGTATAGTTTTCTGAGGTCTCTTTAACCTGCGGCCTGTCTGTTCTGCTTCAGTTGGCGGTGTGTCGTCGAGCTGTGTTTTGTCTGTCCTAGCCCTTTTTCACTTCTGTATTTAGTGCGACGTACACCGAACTCAGCTTGTCTTCCTTCTTCTTCTGTCGTCCATCTTTGCATTGAGCATAGCATTGAATAATTGTAACCTCCCTACTTTTCTTCTCTTCGAGTTAAATCCAGCTGTCATAATCCTGGGGAAGATTGGTTCCCACCGCATGAGAGATTTGACTGCTGGTGGTGACATCATGATAGTCTTTTGAAAACCAGTGAGGCCAGTAAGCTAGGCAGATCTATCACACAATATAACAATTCGAAATTGCCTGCGTTTCGGAACATAAATCAACAACCATGGTAGGTGACTTTGAAAATATGCCGTTGAAGCCTTCTGTTTCACTCCGAACTCATGGGAATAACAATAGGATTAATCCATGTGAATTACGAAAGTTTATGTGTTGAACAAATTAAGCCATTGATGATGATGCTACCACTTCTTCATCAAAATTTAGAAGTAATAACATCAAGGAGTTGGTGGAAGATTGAGATGGAAAGGAGTTCTTCTGATAGGAGGCAAACATCACTCCAATCCACGAAGTCTGTGGCTGTTAGTTTTAGCTTCGTGGGGATCTGGCATTCTGGGAATCAATGGTTGCAGACTGTTGGTGACAATGCTTAAACTAGCGTGGATGGTTTCACTACCTTCTCTCCTCTTCGCATCACAGGACTCTTGACTGTTGTTCATTGTTGGTACTCTTTCTTCAGTAAATTTTCGTTTATTGCAGTTTCATTGTATTTTTTACCTTAATATTCAAGGTGCTTTTAGGGAGTGTGCCTATTTCAGTAGCTGCACTTTTTCACAACCTTCTACTTTGGTGATTCACTTCACTTCGTGTTCATTTCAGGCATAGTTTATTTGAAATGTATATTTTCAAAATCCAGACAAACTGAGTCACTGTATTTCTGCTTTACTTCCCCCGGCTTGAATACGTGAATTGGTAGGCAACAGCTACTCGCCGAATTTCGGTCACTGCTTTGAGCATTGGGACTTGTTTATCCGCTGACTGAAAATTTTGATCTTTTGTGCTTTAATTGGTTCCATTCATGATTCAATCCTTGGCCTCACTTTTATATTTCAAAAAAGTATTCTTCTTGCATGACGTTTATTTTCACTGTAAGCATTATAAAATTTCAAATTGAACTTCGAGGAAAAATAAAATGTATTGTCAACTTTTTCACTTTTCATTGAGTCAGCAGACAACAAAAGCAACTCACCTATTATACATGAAAACTTTTTGATTTTAGAAGATATGAGAGATTTGATCTGTTAAGCCAAATTTCGAGAGTATGCTGACTACATACATATATAATATGCATATATAATATGCATATATATATATACTTATTTAGATTTCTAGGCATGTCACTGTTACACTAATACACATCGTATGTAGATAATTAATCTACGCTTTGACGTCAGGCAAATGGCAATTTATTACAAAATGTCTTTTGAGAGATGAATGTGCGGTGAATGCATACTTGAAAACAGCACATTTTTGCAATTCAATACACACATTGAAATTGATATGGTCATACTGTGAGTGTAATCAATATACTATCGGCAAGTAGCTTTAACAGTATTAAGGAAGGATACGGTAGTAAGAATAGACGTCAAAGAGAAATCTAATTTAGCCCTTCAGAAATCATATATTTCAAATAATCTGTAATAAGTCAATAAAACCTTTAACTGAATTATCCCTGAGTTAACTTAAATGAAAAAGCTAAAAGTAACAGAATTGTTTTAATTTGTTGTGATATAAACGATCAGTAGTGAGCATTGACAACTAACAACCAAACTTTTGTACGATTTAGAAAACAGGTGACAATGAAACGAAGGCGTGTCGAGGCATCGCTTATCGTCGATTAGCTTACATAAATCAGAATCACAATAGACAAGGTAAACAAGGTTTGCTTGCGAACAACTATTAGCGATGCCTCTCAAATAACTGCAATTTAATAATTTAGATTAGACTACCGTCTAGTTGCAGTTTATCTCTCACATTCCAAGTGAATGGGTTAAAGATTATGCTGGTATACAGCTAGTTCACTACAAAAGGCGCATTTCAGTGCAATCATATGCTGTTGTTGTTTTTATAATTGTAGATCATGAAAATGATACACGTCTTGACAAGGCTCAAAATCCCGCTGTAGGTTCAATTATTACCATTATTGTTTTTTTTGTTGTTGTTGTTCTAAAATAATACAGTCAAATAGTCCTCGATGAAATTAACCAAATACTCATTTCTGCAGGATGAACTATTTCAGTTTTAATATTATCAGCTAGAATTTTATTTTTATGTCATTATCAAACATCGTAAACTTGTTGTCATTTTTAATCATTATTTTTTAATCAAGAAAACTCAGTTTATACATTTCAACAACGAGGAAATATCAGTAACACCAATGGATATCAGTGCAACAGTATTCGGTAGTAAATATCATACGACAAACCACAATATTTATTATTAAATTAGTACTTATAACATCAACTAGCGACTTGCAGCGTTTATCGACTGTTCTTAGTGCGAAGACAAAGACTGTATCAGTCTACATTTAAAACTGTCTTTTACTTAAAGTTGCATTTGTCTCAGTATGCTAATATTGCCAATTCTTGATGAAAGCGTTTTCGCGAGAATATGAAAAGGAGAATGACCGATTGAATTCTGTTTTCACTGCGAACCAGACAACACGATATTTGTTTCGGTGCGCCGACAAATCAATGTGAATATCATGCTTCTGTGGGAGGACAATACCAGCTGCAACAGATCAATGGTGAAATCTATCTTTGAATACAGTCGGTACTGAGTTATACGCTTTTGAAACTCTTGAAAAATATCTCTACTTCATGACTTTTAAATACGCTTCTGTTTTATACAAATGTCATTGAGCACGAAATCTTGATTTGGTGTTGTGAGTTGATTGTTTGAAAATATAGGAAATTAAATTGGTAGCATGTTAAGATAATATTATGATTTCAGAAGGGAGTACTGCAGTACGTGTCACCGTTTGTGTCCCTATATGAAAGACCATCTCAATAATAAAATCTATTCCTCGAGAATGCTTCTTGATTGAAGAGCTTGCCGAATACAGTTTGATTTATTATTCACTTATATCCAATGCCACCTGGAACTCGTCCGGAACTACGGTGAAGTATCACAGAACTATCAGTGAAAGCCAATCCTCCAGCAGAACCAGAAGTTTTAAGTTCTAATAGGCTACTGAGAAACAGTCGTTAATGCTGCAGGACAGGACGAAATTCCTCCGAATGCACTAGGAACTGGTCGAAAGTGTTCATGGGACTTCCTCGCGTCACTATTGCACAAAGTTTGGGAGTACGTCAAAATTGTCAAACTACCAAAGACTGGCGACTTACACCTTTTCGGTAACTGGTGCCGAATCAATCTCTTGTTCACTTCAAGCCAAATTTTAAGTCATGTCATCCTGGAGAGACTGAAAGATACTCTCGACGCCAAACGCCCTTGTCCACAGGAAAACTGGATTCGGGAAGAGCAAACCGTGGTAACGTTACGCATCATCATAGAACAGAGCATAGAATAGCATTCAAATTTCTACATGCGATTCATTAACACTGAAGAGAACTTCGACATCCTCGACAATAATGTGATCCGACACTGTTGAGTGCAAAACTCCAACCCTTTATAAATCTAATTCAGCAGTTATATGATGATGCCACGAAGGGCTTGGGGTGGGCTTGTGTTGACATGGAGGAGGTCATGTGAGGGGAAGATGCCCTGTGGACGATTGTGGAGGTGGTTAAGGAGGACTGTGTAGAACAGGGTGGAGTGGTGGTTTGCTGTTGAATCCCTATATTCCATTCGGAATCCAAAGGGATAATAATCATATCCAATCTCACTGGAACATAACTGAATGCTCTGCAGTTACTGTTACTTCTCAAGATCACAGTCTCAGTGTGATAAATGATAATTGAAGACCTCAGTGTTGAGCAACAACCATCCAATTATCAAATAGTATATAACAAAATCCAGATGTAGTCTTCCGGTGAGTCGCAGAATTGCGAAATCCAGGGGAGGTAGAATTTTCGAAAGACATAAAATGTTTCATGGGTTTGCCTGGTGACAGTTTATTTGGTGACTCGTGATTTGCTGGATGAAACAGAGCTGTGGAGTTTTGGCAATGAATACACGGCTTCTGGTGCATTTGAACCACAACTAATTGTATAATACAGCTTACTATATGTCATGCATATTTTAAGCCTTCTGTTATTTGCACTTTGAGCAAGACGGATCACTAAATAAGGTTAAGCACTACTTTTCTGTTTCATTCATGGCGGTAGTTTCCTCACCTTTTGATGACTTCTTGTCATATCCGTTGTGCTTGACGAATCCTAGTTATGAGCGGAGGAAGTGTTATTTGTACTAGTGGTGCATGATGTGGGTATGTGTAGTGAGTCGGCGAGTAAATGAGAGACCGGTACGATGGATAACTATAATGACGGGTAAAAAGTGAGAAGTGAAATATCAAAAAGTGCAGAGATGATATGTGTTTCATCACTGACCACCTAAGCCGATGATTGATTCGAAAAATGCGATTTCACAAATGGGGTGCACATCACACACTGAAGTATTTTATTTCATTTTGTTGCTTTACAATGACAATTTACAAACTTTCCTTCATTTTAAAGCAAACGTTGTCGATCATATATGCCTAAGTTTTCTATTCCGGATTGGAAATATACATGAAAGAGATTATTACCATTTCTGAAATTTTAACCTGCGTCAAAGCTTGTTTCAAAACATACTTATTTATTCCCAAGTTTCAACCTTTCTAGGAGAAATCAAAGTCTTCAATGGTAAGTTATTTTGATAAAAATCACACTACAAACAGTCTTACTTGTAAACACATTAGATGTATTGGTTGCTAGTATTTCACTCAAGTAACGTTTCCCAGTAACAGTGCAGAATTTATCAAATGACAGTTAACTGGCTATTTTGTTGAGCGACACTACTTAGTTCTGATTATCAGAAAATCGAATGAAATGAAGAGCTCTTGTGTTTTTCACAAGATTTCATTTTAGTTGACTTGAAGTAGGATCGAGTTAGGAATCTATATCAGTAGTAGTACCGTAAAGCTGCATTTGCTTCGTCTTCGTTCCAAATGCCAAGAGCCATCAGCACGATAGTACGAACAAGCAGATATTTAGTCACTGAGATAAATACCAAAAGTGTGTTTCCATCCAACTTCATCTTTGATAGAGTATTATAAACGGTCAGAATTCGTATGTCATAAGTGATTGAATAAGCAGTTAAAATTGACTTTTAGTTTGTTTAATGCTGATACAGAAGTTTTTGATTTTCAAATCACATCGATGGACGATTTCGGGCTTCATAAAGCTAATTAGGAGTTATTTCGTCACTTACCAAGAGAGTGTATGCGATAAAAATACCGGTCTTCATGTATTTTTCTTAAATAAAGTTGTTTCGCCAGTCTTTGTCTTCTGTGACTTCGCTGTTTAGTGAGGTAGAAGTTACGAGGGAAGAACAGTTGTATATTTCACTCAATTAATGTGCCTATCTGCATGTGCTCAGCTCTGTTGGACACGTTTTATAACGTTCGCTGTTCTTGAGTTCCGTAACAAAGCAGCCAACTACTGCATTCTGGCTTTAAATGGTCACTCAATTTATTGCCGAATAATGACAATTTTTGTTTTGAAATAAAACGGAAGTTGAGTGTACAACCCTAGTTTTAATTGCTATATTTAATGGTCTTATGTGTTTGTACAGAACTCAGCTGAGCAGTGACATGCTATCAAACATTTCTTTACCAAATATGGGGAGTTTTCATTTGTTCATGTTGTACAAACATCATTCTCAAACGCCATAATCGTGCAGGATCAGTCGATAGAGATTTTCTTAACATGTAAAAAATGTCAATTTATCAATGACTACAAAATTTGTTAATTTTTTCTCGCTTCAGTCATTGCCACTGAGACAAAGTGAGTGTGTCAATAATACCATTCCTATGACTAGTTATATTGCTTTCAATAAATTTCATTCAAATCTGTTGTCAGAATGTGATATATTTAGGATAATTTTTCGCATATCCTGTGCCAAAAATCAACTTGTAACATACTAGGATATATGAGGTCATGAGGTTCTATTGTTTATGAAGTCAGACTGCTTTTGCGATAGGTGATGAATTCGGCTTGTAAGTCACAACTGCAGATATGAAGTAGAAGAGCACTGTTAACAAATGCGTTTTGGTTGAGCTCTGATGAATGGTGGTTGGTATCACTTGATGTGTTTACGTGTAATGGTATTCTTTTTTCTTAATGGCACGTAAAGCTTTGTCAGTACATCTCCACTGTGTCCTGTTCTCTACAGTCCTCGTTAGCTGGTTTGATGATCGCCCATAAGCTCTGATCTCCTCCTTAGACTACCTTTGTCACGTCACAGTTGGACGCCCAACTCCTCGTCTCCCATCGGTTCTGCAGACTAGGACCTGGCGCTCGTTGTCCCGGAAATGTCTCCTCATTGTGTGTCCGGTCCATCTTTCTTGATTTCTGTATATTTTGTGATCAGTATGTTTTGGGTCCCTTCATTCCCATAGTTTCTTGTTGTTAATTGTTTCTGGTCATCCGATCTTCAGCACCGAGTGAAGACAGCTGTTGATAAGGGTTCGCAAACTGTTGGAAGTGCTTACGGTGACACGCAAAGTTTCTAGCCCATGTAGAAGAACTAACTTATTATTGCAGTATAAAATCCCAATTTTTATTCCTTGAGCTAGGCGCCGCCGATTATCAAGCTAATATCGGAGTGATGAATGTCTAATTATCGTTTTAATATCTTCATTCGTCCCTCCGACTATAGTTGAATTTCCCGTCATATCGCTCCCAACAGTCTGACACATAGATAGTCCACCACAATCTGGAATATCATCGTTGGTGATAGTAGGCAGCCTTGTCATACACCCGTCTTCACTTCAGCAGTTTCGCTGACGTTTCCGTTGTGGATCACTTGACATGTGGCATTGTCATATAGTTCTCGAATGAGATTGATGACGATTTTGGACACTGTACAGTGTTGGAGTGTATGTTGGTGGTTCAGTGGTAGAATGCTCGCCAACCATCCACGTGTTCCGGTGTTTGATCCCCGGTCGACTCACTCCTAATCTTCACTAAGATAGTACTAAGCCTGATGAATAGGTAAGGTCGGGCGTGATGCTTATCATTTCACACTGAAAAATTAAAACCATTGCTATCGAAACTTAAAAGCTGTAGCTTGAAACTCTATGTTCCACTCAGGACATAGAGGAGGTAAATGAAATAATCACAAAATATATAATAGTTTTGAAGTGGTTTCCAAATTACTTCGCGGTGAACGCCATCTAAGACCCTTTCAAAGTCGATTAAATTAAGATGGAGAGTTGACTGCCATCTTATGCTTCGTTCGATGATGATGCCGATGGTTGCAATTTGATCCTCATATGACTTGCTTCTCCTGAATCCAGCTTGTTTCAGTCGCCATTCTTTATTCAGTGCATCTTTTACCCTCTTCAGGATGAGGCGACTTAGCGTCTTACTCGGTGTGGACAAGGTTGTGATTTCGCGCCAGTTCTTGCAGAAGCCTCAGTTAACGTTCTTTGACAGTTTAACAAGGTAATCTTTCCCCCAACCAGTAGATACGTTTCCTCTCTTTCAAATGTTTTGCGATCGTGGTGTCGGCATATCTGTTGAGGTCTTTGTGTCTGTTTTCAGTGCTCCACAAGGGATTCTATCTGGTTGTTCTGCTTATCTCACTGAAGGATTGGTGTTCACTAGCAGTTCTGTGGCCGGAGTTGGTGGTGTATTTCTGGATGTGTTACAGGTGACGGTTGATTCAAGAGTTCTTTGAAGTGATCAGCTCATTGTTTTATTTGTCTCTGTTCTCTAGCAATTGGGTCTCCTTGATCAACTTATGTAGATGTCAAATGTGTTGTTCTTTTCTCTAATAGAGACCTAGTTATCTGGTATAGTTTTCTGAGGTCTCTTTAACCTGCGGCCTGTCTGTTCTGCTTCAGTTGGCGGTGTGTCGTCGAGCTGTGTTTTGTCTGTCCTAGCCCTTTTTCACTTCTGTATTTAGTGCGACGTACACCGAACTCAGCTTGTCTTCCTTCTTCTTCTGTCGTCCATCTTTGCATTGAGCATAGCATTGAATAATTGTAACCTCCCTACTTTTCTTCTCTTCGAGTTAAATCCAGCTGTCATAATCCTGGGGAAGATTGGTTCCCACCGCATGAGAGATTTGACTGCTGGTGGTGACATCATGATAGTCTTTTGAAAACCAGTGAGGCCAGTAAGCTAGGCAGATCTATCACACAATATAACAATTCGAAATTGCCTGCGTTTCGGAACATAAATCAACAACCATGGTAGGTGACTTTGAAAATATGCCGTTGAAGCCTTCTGTTTCACTCCGAACTCATGGGAATAACAATAGGATTAATCCATGTGAATTACGAAAGTTTATGTGTTGAACAAATTAAGCCATTGATGATGATGCTACCACTTCTTCATCAAAATTTAGAAGTAATAACATCAAGGAGTTGGTGGAAGATTGAGATGGAAAGGAGTTCTTCTGATAGGAGGCAAACATCACTCCAATCCACGAAGTCTGTGGCTGTTAGTTTTAGCTTCGTGGGGATCTGGCATTCTGGGAATCAATGGTTGCAGACTGTTGGTGACAATGCTTAAACTAGCGTGGATGGTTTCACTACCTTCTCTCCTCTTCGCATCACAGGACTCTTGACTGTTGTTCATTGTTGGTACTCTTTCTTCAGTAAATTTTCGTTTATTGCAGTTTCATTGTATTTTTTACCTTAATATTCAAGGTGCTTTTAGGGAGTGTGCCTATTTCAGTAGCTGCACTTTTTCACAACCTTCTACTTTGGTGATTCACTTCACTTCGTGTTCATTTCAGGCATAGTTTATTTGAAATGTATATTTTCAAAATCCAGACAAACTGAGTCACTGTATTTCTGCTTTACTTCCCCCGGCTTGAATACGTGAATTGGTAGGCAACAGCTACTCGCCGAATTTCGGTCACTGCTTTGAGCATTGGGACTTGTTTATCCGCTGACTGAAAATTTTGATCTTTTGTGCTTTAATTGGTTCCATTCATGATTCAATCCTTGGCCTCACTTTTATATTTCAAAAAAGTATTCTTCTTGCATGACGTTTATTTTCACTGTAAGCATTATAAAATTTCAAATTGAACTTCGAGGAAAAATAAAATGTATTGTCAACTTTTTCACTTTTCATTGAGTCAGCAGACAACAAAAGCAACTCACCTATTATACATGAAAACTTTTTGATTTTAGAAGATATGAGAGATTTGATCTGTTAAGCCAAATTTCGAGAGTATGCTGACTACATACATATATAATATGCATATATAATATGCATATATATATATACTTATTTAGATTTCTAGGCATGTCACTGTTACACTAATACACATCGTATGTAGATAATTAATCTACGCTTTGACGTCAGGCAAATGGCAATTTATTACAAAATGTCTTTTGAGAGATGAATGTGCGGTGAATGCATACTTGAAAACAGCACATTTTTGCAATTCAATACACACATTGAAATTGATATGGTCATACTGTGAGTGTAATCAATATACTATCGGCAAGTAGCTTTAACAGTATTAAGGAAGGATACGGTAGTAAGAATAGACGTCAAAGAGAAATCTAATTTAGCCCTTCAGAAATCATATATTTCAAATAATCTGTAATAAGTCAATAAAACCTTTAACTGAATTATCCCTGAGTTAACTTAAATGAAAAAGCTAAAAGTAACAGAATTGTTTTAATTTGTTGTGATATAAACGATCAGTAGTGAGCATTGACAACTAACAACCAAACTTTTGTACGATTTAGAAAACAGGTGACAATGAAACGAAGGCGTGTCGAGGCATCGCTTATCGTCGATTAGCTTACATAAATCAGAATCACAATAGACAAGGTAAACAAGGTTTGCTTGCGAACAACTATTAGCGATGCCTCTCAAATAACTGCAATTTAATAATTTAGATTAGACTACCGTCTAGTTGCAGTTTATCTCTCACATTCCAAGTGAATGGGTTAAAGATTATGCTGGTATACAGCTAGTTCACTACAAAAGGCGCATTTCAGTGCAATCATATGCTGTTGTTGTTTTTATAATTGTAGATCATGAAAATGATACACGTCTTGACAAGGCTCAAAATCCCGCTGTAGGTTCAATTATTACCATTATTGTTTTTTTTGTTGTTGTTGTTCTAAAATAATACAGTCAAATAGTCCTCGATGAAATTAACCAAATACTCATTTCTGCAGGATGAACTATTTCAGTTTTAATATTATCAGCTAGAATTTTATTTTTATGTCATTATCAAACATCGTAAACTTGTTGTCATTTTCAATCATTATTTTTTAATCAAGAAAACTCAGTTTATACATTTCAACAACGAGGAAATATCAGTAACACCAATGGATATCAGTGCAACAGTATTCGGTAGTAAATATCATACGACAAACCACAATATTTATTATTAAATTAGTACTTATAACATCAACTAGCGACTTGCAGCGTTTATCGACTGTTCTTAGTGCGAAGACAAAGACTGTATCAGTCTACATTTAAAACTGTCTTTTACTTAAAGTTGCATTTGTCTCAGTATGCTAATATTGCCAATTCTTGATGAAAGCGTTTTCGCGAGAATATGAAAAGGAGAATGACCGATTGAATTCTGTTTTCACTGCGAACCAGACAACACGATATTTGTTTCGGTGCGCCGACAAATCAATGTGAATATCATGCTTCTGTGGGAGGACAATACCAGCTGCAACAGATCAATGGTGAAATCTATCTTTGAATACAGTCGGTACTGAGTTATACGCTTTTGAAACTCTTGAAAAATATCTCTACTTCATGACTTTTAAATACGCTTCTGTTTTATACAAATGTCA